CATTTACCCAACAAAATCAGTTGTTAGATTTCTTAACTGCTGCTTCCCTGTTCATTGTGGATCCAAGTAAAATGAAATCCGTCACAACCTGCATCTTTCTTCTGTTTATGATTTTGGTTATTTGTCCAGTAGGGAGGATTTTTGTTTTATCTACATAGAGGTGTGAGTTCAGATGGATTATAACTTAACATTCAAAAAAATCAAAATTTATCCAACCGAACCAATAGGCAATGTCATGGTAGATGAAAAAAAAATTTCATTTGTCAAGAATTTCATTTACTTGGATCCACATTCTGGAAGTAGCAGTCAAGAAATCAAAAGAAAGGTTGCATAGAGGAAATTTGTTGTCAAAGACCTCTTTAAAGTTCTAAAGAACAAAGATGTCCATTTTAAAACTAAAGTACTCCTAACTTAAGTTGTTGATAACTTCATCTTACTTGGATCCACAATAAACACCCTTGGCACCAACAGTCATGAAATCAAAAGACAAGTGGCTTTGGTAAAATCCACTGTCAAAGATCCCTCCAGAGTCTTTGACAGTGAAACGATTGTATGCAAATGATTGTACGTTGTCAAAGCAACGATGTCAGTCTAAAAACTAAGGTGCACCTGATCCAAACCATAATCTTCTCAATTGCTTGCTGTGCATCTGAGAGCTGTACAATGCCTAAGGATGTCAGAAGAACCAAAGTTTTTAAGCTGTGGTACTTGTGAAAAGTATTGACCATACCATGGACTCCCAAGAGACCAAAGAGATATATCCTGGAGATGTTGAAACCAAGATGCTTTGTCTTACATACTTTGGGCATGTTGACAGGAAGGGTCAGTCCTTGGAGAAGGACATCATGCTTGAAAGGGTAGAGGGTCAGTGCAAGTGAAGAAGACCCTGGGATGAGATGAATTGACACAGTGACTGTGGCAATGAGGTCAGATGTGCTGGAGATCGTGAAGTTGGCTCAGAATATGGCAAGGTTCATAGCCATTGTTCATGTGTTCTCTGTGAGTTGTAGTAGACTTGACAGCACATAACAACAACAATAACTACACAAGTCATAATGTTTTCAGTTGATTGATGTGCATCTGAAAGTTAGACCATGAATAAGGTAGGTTGAAGAAGAATTGATGTTTTCAAATTGTTGGCAGAGTATTGAATATATACCATAAATTACCAAAAAAGCAAACAAATCTGCCTTGGAGGAAGTACATCCAGGGTGCTCCTTGGAGGCAAGAACAGTGAAACTTTATCTCATTTCTTTAAGCATGTCATCAAAAGGATCAGTCCTTAGAAATAGATATCATGCTTGGAAAAATAGTTCAGCAAAAGAGAGGAAGACCCTTGAGAAGATAGATTGACACAATGACTACAAGAATAGGCTGATCACAGAGGAGATTGTGAGGCTAGCACTAGATGGGCATCGTTTAATCTCTTATATACAGAGTTGCTGAATTGGAGTTGATTCTATGACATCTAGCAATAACATGAATTGAGGTATACTACTGAATGAAGGCTATTGTAGTTTATCTTCATCAGTAAATGCTTGCCATCTTCTTCAATTTTAGCAAACAAAATTGTTAATTGTGTCAGGCTAGTAAATGGGTCCTCCTCCAATTCTGATACTGTATTCATTTTCATAGACTCCAGCTCAGAATAAGGATTGAATAAATATAGTGAAAAGACACAACCTTGATGCTCACCTACCTTTCCTAATTACAAACTGTGCTGTATCTTTTGTTCAGTTAGGATGATTTTTTGATCTGTTACAGGTTCTACAGAAGCACATTTAAATATTCTGGAATTCTATTCCTTCACATTATTATCCATAATTTGTTATAACTCATGTAGTCAAATACCTTCACAGAGCCAGTAAAACACATATATGATATCCTTTGCTTTTATTTAAGATCTGATATCCTTTGATATTCTGATATCCTTTGCTTTTAATTAAGATCTATTTGAAGAAATCAACAACAGTATCTTTCATTGCCCATACTCTTCTGCATTTAGCTTGAATTTCTGACAGTTCTCTGATGTACAGTTCCATTTATTTTTTCATTATCTTCAGTAAGATTTTACTTGAGTGGGACATTAATGATACTATTCTATGATTTTCACATGTTGAATCATCTCTGTTTGGAATGTGCACACATACAGACTTCTTCAGGTTGGTGGCCAGGTCTTTCACATGTTTTTGGCACAGATTAGTGAGTCCATCTAGTACTGCATCCGTTTGCTGAAACATTTCAACTGATGGTCCATCAATTCCTGAAGCCTTATTTTTTGTCAATGACTTAAGTACAGTTTGGACTCCTTTTTTCATTACCATTAATTCTTGATCACAAGCTAAATCCCGAGATGGTTTTGTATCTGCCAATTCTATTTGGTACATTGAGTCAGTATATTCCTGCTATCTTCTTTTAATGCTTGCTTTCTGCATCATTCAATATTTTCTCATACAATCTTCCACTACTGGAACTTGATGTGTGAAGCTTTTTCTTGGTTTTTTCTACTTGAAAAATGTGTATCATCTTGCCTTTTCGTTTTCTAACTCTGAATATTTGCACATTTCCTTATAACACTGTGTTTTGTCTTGCTGAGCCATTCTTTGAAATCTCCTGTGTAGCTCTTTATCATTTCCTTCTTTTGCTTTACATTCTCTTTATTCTAGAGTGAATTTCAGTGTTTTATGATGTAGTGGATTTTTTTTTCTTCTGGAATTTAATTTCTTTTTTCTTTTCCCCTATCTTTTTAGTGACCTTTTGTTTTCTTCAGGGATGATGTTCTCTATTTTTTTACCACTTTTAATATTTTATATTGGTTTGCATACAGAATTCATGTGCACTGAGTTTTATTCATATACATTATATTTCACACATTACTTCATTCACAGTATGTTTCATACGATCATTCCCACACATTGTGTTTTATAAAATTAATCACTGATGACTTAGGCCCACTATTACCCCATGTTTTCAGGTCCCTACTGGATCTTTCCTAATTCCTTCATACCTTCTCTCAGCCCACCAACCTCTCTGATCACGTGATTTCCACCCCTAACCCACCTCCGGAAACGACTCGTGGCACATAACAACAACAACAACAACCCACCTCCAGCAAATCCCTGCTCCTTTCTCTTCCCCCTTTGGACTTTTACACACATCTTACTAGTTATCCTATATTTATAATAATGGTCTTCTGCAATATTTGTCCTTATGAAACTGAGTTATGTCACTCAGTTGGAACTCTTATTCATTGTTCGTGGGATTATAAAATCATACAACCACTCTGGAAGGCAGTTTTGCATTTTCTCAAAAAGCTGAACATAAACATTCCATAGGACCCAGCTACTCCACTGCTAGGCATGTACCTTAAGGAAAATAGATGTGAGACACAATCAGAGATTTGTACACCATGTTCATAGTAACGTTATTCCCAATAGTAAGAACATGGAAGCAGCCCAAATGTCCATCAACAAAAAAAAATGCATTGAGAAATTATGGTATATTTACATGATGGAATACTATGCAACACTCAGCAGCAATGATTTAGAAAAATACTATATAATGTGGATGATCTTCTTGATGTCATCCCACAACTCATCTGTTCTTTAGTCAATAGTGTTAAGAGCTTTTAAATGGCTTTTAAATTTAGGTAGGATAAATTTAAGGTCTTATTTTTAGTCTCACAAACTTGTTTTCATTTTATCCGGTTTCACTAGATATGAACAATTGATGATCTTTTCCGTAGTTTACCCCCAGCCTTGTTCTGACTAAATGATATTGAGCGACTCCAAGACCTCTTTTCCCAAATATAGTTTCTTTGATTTCTGTGAATCCATATGACAAGATTCATATGTTTAGTTGCTGTTTATGTATCTTTTTTAAAAAGGCATCTGCAATGACTAAGTTATTGGTCATACAAAATTCTATCATGTGATTTCTGGCATCATTTCTATCACCATCATTTCTGTTGGAAAAAAGGTCATATTTTCCAGTAATGATCCTTCTGTCTGGTTTCCGACTCTTGCATTCTAGCCACAAGTAATAACCAATTAATCATGATGACATTTTTCCTCAATATCAGACTGCAGAATTTGGTTTAAAGAAAAAATATATGTTTTTCCTTTTTTATCTTCGGTTTAGAATTTGGACAAGAGGTGCATTAGCAGATCTTCCTTGTATGCCTGTAGATATTATGCTATCACTGACAACATTATGCTTCAGGATAAATCTTTACACATTCTTTTTCTTTTTAGCTTTTTTCCCCTTTGTTAAATTTTTTTTTATTTTCTACTGGTTTATTTACAAAGTCCGCATACATTCTTTTTCCACACCAGATCTTTCCCATTTCCTTCACCCTGACTCCCTCCACCCATCAAATTGTGCAGCTGCTTCTTGGAGGCAAGGATTCTGAAACTTCGCCTAACATACTTTGTATATGTTGCAAGGAGGGGCCAGTCCTTGAAGAGGGACATCATGCTTGGGAGGATGGAGGGACAGCACAAGAAAGGAAGATCCTTAATGAGATGGATTGACTCTGTGACTGGGGTAATGAGGGTAGCGATGTCAGAGGCAATAAGGTTGGCACAAGGTAGAGCAGGATTTAGGGCTGTTGTGCATAGGGTTGCTATGAGGCAACTCGATGGCACATATCAACAACAATACACTCAAGGTTTTCTACACTATTCTATGAAATTTTGACATTGGGAAGGAATCACTAATCCTGTACTAATTCCTAAGTCACCTTCCTGTGACATTTAAAATCTTTGGATAGACCATCTGTTTCTGCTCTGCTCCTTTCTCAGTGACCATCTCCCTGCAGTAGGCTACCCATGGAGACCCCCAGAGGAGGCTCAGAGGAACAGGGAGAACATGTTGAATGTGATGCTCTGTGGCTGCCTTGGCCACTTTTACCAGGACATGTTTCTCAAGGCCAGATGGTCCTGGAAATGAGCCTTGTGGCTTATTTTTATTTCAGGTCCTTGCAACCGCTCCCTGTGACTATGAAGATTGCTGTGATCGGGCAGAGTCTGTTTGGCCAGGAAGTTTACTGCCAGCTGAAGAAGGCAGGCTATGAGGTGGTGGGAGTGTTCACTATCCCAGACAAGGATGGGAAGGCAGACCCACTAGGTGAGTAAGGGTCCAGAGAATAAAGACAAGTTGTTGAGTTCTTGGGAAATAAGTCACAAGGGACAAGTGCATGGGGAGAAGATTTTGGACAGTTTTGTGATGGGTCTACGGACTTTCCTGGCTGGAAACCAACCCTATATAATCCATGTTGAATTCTGTATAGATGTCACCTGACTACAGGGACTTTTCTGAAATAAAGTAGTAATCCATGGAGAAGCTTGCTTAGTCCCAGCTTCTGCCTCAGACTGTCAACAATCAGTAGGTACCAAATCTAAGTGCCACACTATCTGCCCACTTCTGGCCTTCAGCATGCAAGTCTACAAAAACTCCCAGGGCACAATCCCCCAGGTCAGTAGTCTCAGAAGTGAGGTTAGTAGCAAGTCATCATCACTGAACAACCCATCTTTCTGATTCAGTAGGTCTAGACAAAAGTTCAAAAACTGTATTTCTAGTAAGTTCCCAGATGATGTTGATGGTCCTGGCTTGAGGAGGAGCACACTTTGTGACTCACTGCCCTGGGCCTCACTGCTTTGAGCTGGAATCTTAGCTCTGTAGGATGGCTGTACCAGGCTCTCAAAAAAAACTTGTTCACCATTTCATTGGCAAAGACTACAGGGCAAGAGGTAAGGATAGAAGGCCAGAACCAGGAAAGAGGAGGATCCAGGACTGGTGGGACAGGCTAATAAGCACAGGAGCTGAGTTCACTAAGTCACAACAAGCATCCTGCTGAGCTGAGCTCTAGATTCAGTCCTAGAACAAGACTAGATGCCAGTCAGGGTGGCCTGACCAACGTTTGATTTGTGAAATAGCCTAATGTCCCACAGCACGCGGTCTAAACCCAGGCCACTAATTGACCTTTGACACCAGCAGCCTTTGACCCTGGTCACTCACTGAAACCTGGCTATAGCTAGGACTTGATCTCTGCCACCACTGACTTTAACCTCAGATGTCTAGCAAAAGAATTTCATTGGTCGTGACTTTCACAAGTAAGGCGTGATCTGTAAAAGGTGGGTCAGAGAGGCGAGGATCAGTGAGAGTCCAGGCAGAAGTCACATATGATGCTTGTTGTTTTCACAAAGAGTTTCACCAAAAGAAGTGTTCGCTAATTATTAGAGTCAGAAAGGAGAACTCTGAATATTGTGGAGAAGGCAATGGTAGGAAAGAGTCACTGTTTCTGAGACTAGAGGACAGAAGCTCTGGTTACTAGAACCTGAACTCTTAGAGGACCTGTATTCAGACCCCCAGGAGAGGTGCTGCTCATCTGGACCTGGCTCTGTGAACTGGCCGACCACCTAGAGTGAGACCCTGGCTGCCAGTGACATTGACTGGGCCATGGCTATGCATTAAGGCTGGTTCTGCAAAAACTAGAAAGCCTGTTAAGTGGACAGGAGCCAGTAGTGCTCCCAGGTTGAGAACCCCACCCCAAAACCCCTTTCTTTCCACCAACCTTAAGTCCTCTTGTGTCCTTGAAGGTAAAGCTTCACATTCACAGATAACAGCTGACAGTCAGGAAGACAATGTCTTCATGGCTTAATGGAGGGTCTGCAGAGGAACCATGTCCAGAGCCCACCATCTGAGCTCTGGGTGGTCAGCAGAAGTCATGTGACCAGAATAGTGCTGTCCCTAGGGCAGCATGCTGGGGCCAGGCTGTAGCAGTGGATGGAACATAAAAGGGATGGGTCTGGAAAGAAGGTCCAGGAATCACTCGGCTAGGTAGGCAGGGGGTGGGCGGGGGGGGGGGGCAGTGAAGTGACTGGGGCATAAAGAAGACCAGCTTCTCAACTATATTATCCACAGGCGTAGAAGCTGAGAAGGATGGCGTGCCAGTGTTCAAATTCCCCCGCTGGCGGGCCCGCGGGCAAGCTCTTCCAGAAGTGGTGGCCCAGTACCAGGCTGTGGGGGCTGAGCTCAATGTCCTGCCTTTCTGTAGCCAGTTCATCCCCATGGAGGTCATCAATGCTCCCAGGCATGGATCCATCATCTACCATCCATCTCTGCTCCCCAGGCACCGAGGGGCCTCAGCCATCAACTGGTGAGTAGGAACAAAGCCACCATCCCCAACATGCCCCTACCCCATGAACCTCAGTTGTCATTCTTCTGTGTCTGAAGCATCTCTGAATGGTGTGAGATGCAATGAAGGCGGCCTGTGCAAATAAGGTGTGTAATGAAACCTCACCTTCCATCTGTGGCACTCTAGCGGCTTAGAGAAGCACTCCAGGCAGTGAGATTATCAGGCAGGGTCCACAGATCATGCCTGCAATTTTCAAAAGAATTTCATTTAAAAGACGTATATATTAGGCATTGGGAGTTCTGGTGGCCTAGTGGCAAGAAGCTGTGCTGCAACCCTAAAAGTACATGGTTCAAATCCACCAGCTGCTCTGCAGAAGAAGGGTGTGCATTCTCCTCTTGTGTGATTTACAGACTCTGACAACAGGCTGGAGAGTCAGCTCTGGGTCAGTTTCAACTCAGTGACACACAACAATAGATTAGGCATTGGAGTCTAAAAATGAGAATTCTAAAGTTTCATGATGAAAAATAGTTATGTCTCCAAGACTATGGAAAAGAAAAAAGGAAAGCTGTAAACTAGATCCTGGAAGCTTGAAGGAGCTGCCTGAGGCTTCCAGGGGCCAGACATACACTGTACTGGTGAAGTGTTATCAACAAGAGAGAACACTTCTGTGGCATCTGGGCAGGCATTGCTCCGTCCTTTGCATTCTCACAATGGACAAGGTGGTGAACACTCTCTCCTAGTGGTCCTGGGACAGGTTGTGGGGTTTCCCTGAGAGCACAGGAGGGCACAGGGCAGGAAGTCAACACAGGCGGTCAAGCCCAAGGCCTGCCCAACCTCCACCCAACAACTTAGTAGCATCCTGCTCAGAAAAGGATGAATTAAGGATGGGATAAAAGGTCCAAGATGATCATGGAGTAGTCTGAAATGATGAGAAGTGCCGTGAGGTCATTGGCACAGGATTGATGTGACACAGTCTGAGTCTCCTTCACGGCCTTTGCCAGGCACTGTCATACCTAGCCCTCCAGTGGGTTCCAAGGCTGGAAATCATACAGAAGTGTGCCCCCCTCTCACCTGCAGAGCTGGGGTGGGCTCGAACCACTAGAAAGGTATAGCCTCTGGGTTAGTAGCACCACTCTCTCCCGACAGAGTCTGACAAAATAGTCCACAGAAAAGGTCTCCTGGCAGCAGAGACGTTAAGGAGAAAGTATGGGATTTCAGCCAAACTGGTCTGGTTATAATTCAGTCCCTGATCTTGGGTCAAGCCACTTTCCTTTCCTGGCCTCATTTTCCTTATCTGTAAATGCAGATACACTACCTACTGCAGCTGCCGTGAAGATGACAGGAAGTGCTTTCAGCACGATGTCTGGGTCCTTGCTAGCTTTTGATGAAATTGTATGTTCCTCCCCCTTCCGAGAGGATGCACTGCAGGCCAAGGCAGCAGCACTGTACCCAGGGCATCCTGACCCTGACTGCCCTTATACCCAGGGTGCTCACTCTTCTGCCCCTAGGACCCTCATCCATGGAGACAAGAAAGCAGGCTTCACTGTCTTCTGGGCTGATGACGGTCTGGACACCGGGGATCTTCTGCTCCAGAAAGAGTGTGAGGTCCTCCCGGACGACACAGTGACCACTCTGTACAATCGTTTCCTCTTCCCTGAAGGCATCAAGGGCATGGTAAGGGCTGGGAGCTGAACCCCTGCCTAGCCAGCATTCCTCCAGAGCTTCTCTGTCCCTGTGTGCCCTCTCTAGCCTGAGCTAGAGGTGCTAGTGCCAGAGCCAGCCAGGCATCTAGTCCCCAAATGCAGGGTTTGAGGGGTGGAGTCAAGCTTAGACCATGAACTGTATTCTTTGAGGTGGTATTCTTGCGTTAGACTGACAGAATCCAGGTGCAAAAATCTTTAGTAACAAAAGGGATGTTTTGGACTCTTTGACCAGACAAGACTGATAAGACTCTAGGAGCTGACGCTCTGTCATTAGGATTCTGTCTTTCTGTTCACCCTCTAACTCGGCTTTTCTATTTGCTTAGCTTAGCTATCAGGTTGGCTGCTTCCAAACAGGAAGAAAAATACTAACTGGCTATTTTATTCTTATTCAGAGGTGGAGCAAAAAGTCTTCTGTTTGTGGAGTTGATTGCACCTCTTGGCAACTTCACGTGTGGCAGAGTGGAATTATGCTCCATGGGGATTTCAGTGCCTGAGTTTTCTTTGAAAACATAGGCACATTTGAGGTGCCTATGAGAAGAATTGGAGTTAACAACCCAGTGCTTTATCAATCTATACCAATCAAGAATTTCTCCAGAGGAAGAAAGTCCCTCTTTCTTCCAGAATTCATGAGTGAAAAGTGATTGGCCTGTTGGGTCAGGTGGTCATCCTGAGCCAATCACTGGCCAGCATGACAGAATTCTCTGGCCAGCCTCAATCACTGCTACCTGTTTGGGATATGGAGGCCAACCTAAATCTAGTCACATAGAGAGCTTCTTCTCAGGAAACTATTTCCTAGCTCTTCTCAGACCTCCAAACGTGTACCTCTCTCCAAGCCCAGCACAGGGCTCAGGATCCATTCTCTTTAAAAAGCAGAGACGTTTTTAAATTATGTGAAACTTTATATGTTGGACTGGCATGGGGCTTTATAGTTTACCTAATCTTCTACGAGGATATAAAACCTTGTGAGGTAAATGGGAGAGTTCTGTGTCCAGTTTCCAGTGGGATCAGCTTCGTAGAAAAGTCATGCATAGAATGCATACATGTGTCAGGAACTGTACCAGGCAGCTACTTTGAACAAATTCAGGGTGGAGAAGGGAGGGGTCTGATGCTGGGATGCTGACTGCTCTTGGGTCCACCTCAGGTACAAGCTGTGAAACTGATTGCAGAGGGAAGAGCTCCCCGAATCCCTCAGCCTGAGGAAGGGGCCACCTATGAGGGGATTCAGAAGAAAGAAGTGGCCAAGGTGAGTGCCCAGTGGTCTACCCACCCCAAAGCTGACCTGTGAGCAGGGAAGGAGAGTGAGACTGCTGCCTCAGGCTAGGAAAATGTCCTGGAAAAGTTAATGTTCAAGCTGAGGAATGCAGGCTGTAAGGAGGGCAAGGAGAGAGGCAGAGAAAACTTGGGCACAGTCGGGGAAAGCCTGGGCACAGACATGGAGGGGAGAAAGGCAGGTAAAAAGGTCCATTCTGGATTCTTCCCTGTTCCTCTTTAGGATGAAAGAGTAGACAGGATTCAAGAGAGGGAGAAAAAGTGTGGAGGGTGAGACTTGCAGAAGGGTATGTTGTTATTGTTTGTTAGATGCCATCAAGAGAGGGAGGAAAAGTATGGAGGGTGAGACCTGTAGAAGGGTATGTTGTTATTATTGGTTAGATGCCATCAAGGTGGCTTAGGGCTCACAGTAACACAGTGAACAATATATCTGAACCTTGCCCCTCCCATCTCTAATTTGTTCAAGTTCATTGTTACAGTCACTGTGTCAATCCATATTGTTCAGAGTCTTCCCCTCTTACTCTGACTCTCCACCTTACCCAGCAAAATGTCTTTTTCCAAGGAAGAATGTGAGGAGTGGGGAATAAAAACCTGCTTGCGTGCCTGATGTCTCTAAGCTAATATATGAGAGAATTTGGTTTCTTACATCAGCAACCAGCAGGAAGACCTCAAGGGGCCCTGAGTCAGTGAGACCTGAATAATAGCCTCGGAGTCTTGTCGACTAGAGTCCCCATGGGACAAGCCTAAGCATCTGTCTGTGTTGAGGTGACTGGGTAGAGAGATTGAGCCATCTGAACAACGTAACATTACTTTTTCAAAATCATTCTTAACATTTACTCAATTCTGACCATTCTCAGAGAGGAAACCAAGTTCTGGGTACCCTGCCAGGATGTTGATCATTGCCTGTGGGGTGGGGAAGGACGACAGGAAGTGCTGCCTAGAGGTCTGCTGGAGACCACTGAGTGCACTTGCTTTCACTCTGCAGATCAACTGGGACCAGCCAGCAGCAGCCATTCATAACTGGATCCGAGGGAACGACAAGGTGCCCGGTGCCTGGACTGAGGCCTGTGGACAGGTGTGTGGCTAGAGTTCAGTTGTATGCATTGTTGTGGGCCCAGTGACTGCAAAAATATCAACATATGTTTGTGTTGCTTGGTAAGCAACCACCGCTTAACTCCCACCCCCTCCATCCCTATGTCCCATCTCCCAGACCTAGCCAATACTCAATACCGAAAGGGTTAATGTCTGATGTTTCTCAAGACCTTGGACTTTCTACCATAAAGACTTTGCCTCTCAGTCCTGGGTTCAAGACACCAAGCCCACTCACAGTTTCAGCTTGGCTTCTCATAGTATAGTCTGAATCCCCAGACAGGAGGATCTCCAGGGCCAGAGACTGGGCGATGGGAAGTGGGAAGGGCTGAGACTTTAGGACAGGCCAAATGCTGACAATAGGGTACCCTGTTACACGCTCTGGGTATGAGCTCAGGGGTGACAGAATCAAGTGCAGGGTCAGAGTCTGACCTTATTAAGAGTGAGACCTCTGCGCCAGGCTGGGCAGCTATGCCTTGGTGCCAAACTGCCAGAATTCCTGACCTCCCACTGAATGCGCTCATTGTGTTGGGAGTCCTGCTGTCACAAATCACTCTGCTTTGGTAAATCCACCTCTATAGTCACCAGCAATGGACAGGTTTTGTCCCCTTACCTGATGCCATAGTGGTGACCAAAGGCTCTGTCTGTGCCCCTATGCCAACTCTCCCTGTGTGGACCACGATTTGCCCCACACCTCGCTCCATCATCTAAACTCCAACACCCCTGCCTTGACTAATGGGATCAGGTGTCTCATCTCATCAACCACTTTTTGGGTTTTCTTCCCTCAACAGAAGCTGACATTTTTCAACTCTACACTGAACACTTCGGGCGTCACACTTGAAGGTGAAGCTTTGCCCATCCCAGGAGCGCATCAGCCAGGAGTGGTCACCAAAGCAGGACTCATTCTCTTTGGAAATGATGGAAAGATGGTAACAGCATTGCTGGGGCCCACTGCCTACTCTCACAAACACACTTCCCTACTAGTCCCAGACCCTAAAGGAAGTACCAGCTGTACTTCCTGCACAGACTGACTGATGTGGTTTCTGAGATCATTTCTCTGTTACTGGCAGGCAAGGGACACTTACTATTCCAGAACTGGTGCCCTATGTGGCTGCCATACGACTTAGAATGAAGGAGCCCTGGGCAGGGAGCCCTGAACTCAGAGGCTTGGTTTAATCGAGTGTTTAAGAGCCCCTGGGTACAAGCATTTAACTTTCGTGACTCAGATGCCTTCTTGTCAATGGAGATGTTATCAAAAGTTATTTTAGTGCAAAACACATGAAGCCATAGCTGCACATTACTAAGCTCTGTGTCGATGAAACCTCATCTCACATACTCTGACAGGTTGCCAGGAATGAGAAGTCCTTCAGAGAAGGAGAGGAAGGCCCTCAACAAGATGGACTGACATGGTGACTGTGACGAGAAGTCAAGCATATCGGAGATCATAGGGATGGTGCCGGATAAGGCAGGGTTCAGATCTGTTCACAGTGTCACTGGGAGTTGTAGTCAACACAACAGCACCTAACAACAACAACAACATATATATCTTAGCTGTTATTGCAATCAGTAGACTCTGAAACTGATAAAATAGCTACTATTTATTGCACTTTCTATGTGCCAAGTGCTGTTTTAAAACAATTTCCATGTATTAAACTTAATCTTCACAACCACCTTATGAGCTATCTATTCACATTATGCTCATTTTACAGAGGAGAAAACTGAGGCACAGAAAATGTCACTTTCTCTGTCTCATCAAACTAGTTGTTGGCAGAACTGGCTCCGAAGTCCATGCCCTCAGCCCTACTGCTCAGCTGTTACTACACACTTTGTGCAGGACTTGGGGCAGTCTGGACCTTAACTTATGTTTGCAGAAGATGCTTGGAGCAAGGAAAGAGCAGGGAGAGAGTTTGGGGCACTTTTCCGAATCTCCAGCACTGTGAGAATGCTGTGCCCTTGGCCCGTCACAGTGTGAGGCAGCATTGCTCAGAGCTGGCTGGTACCCACAGTGGTGCTTCCCCCACAGCCTGCTACCAGAGGGTCCAGCCAGCTGCTGCTGATATCTGATCGACAGTGGCTGGGTAGTGTTAATATTCATGTATTTATCGTAGATCAGGTTTCCAAGAAACAACGTCTGTACAAGTGGTTGATTGAGGGAGGGTCCTCGGGAAAATTGTGTAAGGAAGGCAAGAAGGGAAGGTGCAGGGCAGAGGAAATACTAGGCTCAGGAGATGGGGCCCTCCAGTGGGGAACTTGGTCAAGCCTGAAGTGGTGTTGAGTGTCATAGGGCACAGCCTCATTGATCCCTGTGCGTGGAAGCTCCTATCTTTTCATGGAGAGCTTCAGAGAAGATGCAGTATGGGCTACCAGCAGCCAGTGCTCAAAACAGAGGAGCCTGAGTGCACCAGCCTGGTGAGGGTCCTGAATACACTGACTGCAATATGCTATGGCATCTAAGGAGGTGACCAGTACAAAGGAAAGTGCACCCTCAGTAGAAACCTTTGGCTGAAATATCTCTTGGGAATTTCCAGTTGGAGCTGATGGGGCTTTAGCCCCCAGAAAGTTCCAGACCATCATGAAAAGCTAGCAGTATAGAGGCAACAGAACCCTGGGTCAGGCAGGGAACCTGACTTCTCTTTTGGTAGACTCTGTGTGATGTGTGCTGTGCTTACAGAGTCACTGCTGGGCATTGTCACTGTCCAGAAGTTCATCTGCTCCTCCTTCTACCTCTATCTGTGATGTTGCCAGGTGTTTCCATGAGATTTCTGGGAGCCGGGCTACTAGGGGACTTGTTCTTATGATTGGCTTCCAATATAACACTTGAATTACTTGTTCAATAGACAAAATTATTATAATTAAGGGGGTAAATACATTTCCCATGTTCTCCTTTCTCTGCCAAGGATTAAAATATATACAGATACATATATATTTACAAAGACAGAAGAGAAAGAAAAAATCAAAATAGATGTCAGAAAAGACTCTGAAAATGGCACTAGAGTGTTAAAAAGCCAAAACAAAGGGAAGGCATGCTGAAGTTAAAGAGCTGAACAAAAGATTTCAAAGAGTATCTCAAGGAGACAAAGCAAAGTATTATAATGGAATGGACAGAAAGCTGGAATTAGAAAATAAAAAGAGAAGAACTCACTCAGCAGTTATCAAATTAAAAGAACTGAAAAGCAAATTCAGGCATCGAGTTGAAATACTGAATGATGCTATAGGCAAAATCTTGAATGAGCCAAGATGCATCAAAATAAGATGATGCACTGAAAACATTGGCAATAAGTAAGACCCCAGGAATCGATTTGATACCAATTGACATATTTCAACTAACAGATGCAGCCTGGAATATGCTCACCAGGCAATATTGGAAGTTTGGAGGACAGCTACCTGGGCAACTGACTGGAAAAGATCCATATTTGTTCTTATTCTCAAGAGAGGATCCAACAAAATGTGGAAATTATCAAACAATAGCATTAGTATTACATGTAAGCAAAATACTTATGAAGATCATTTAGAAATGGCTAGAGCAGTTTATAGACAGAGAACTGCCAGATATCCAAGCTAAATTTAGGACAGGCTGTGGCCCTAGGGATATCACTGCTGATATCAGATGGATCCTAGCTGAAAGCAAAGAATAGCAGAAGAATGTCTATTTGTGCTTTACAGATTCTGCAACGACACTTGGCTGTGTGGATCATAACAAACTATACCTAACATTTAGAAGAATAGGAATCCCAGAGCACTTAATTGTGTTCATGCAAAACTTATACCTAGACCAAGAGATTATTGTGTGAACAGAGCAAGGGAACAGTAGTTTAAAATTAATAAAGGTATGTGTGAGTGTTGTATCCTTTCTCCATATCTCTAATCAATCTGTGTGATGAGCAAATTATTCGAGAAGCTGGACTCTATGAAGAAGAATGTGTCATCAGGATCAGAGGAAGCCTCTTGAACAACCTTCAGTACGCAGATGACACAACCTTTCTAGCTGCAAGTGAGGAGGACTTGAAGCACTTGTTGCATAAGATTAAAGAATACAACCTTCAATATGGATTGCATCTCAATCTCAAGAAAACAAAAACTCTCACCCTTGGACCAATAGCAACATCATGATAAACGGAGAAAAGTTTGAAACTGTCAACTTCATCTTGGTTCCACAATCAAAACCCTTGGTAGCAGCAGTCAGGAGATCAGGAGGTGTATTACACTGAGAAAGTTTGTAGTTAAGGACCTTTCCAAATTATTGAGATTATTGACAATGATATCAATTTGAGGACTAAGGTGCACGTGATTCAGGCCATGAACTTTTCAATCATGTGTTACACATCTCGAAGCTAGATAATGAATAAGGTTTGGTGCAAAAGAATAATTGATGCCTTTGAACTGCAGTGTAGGAAAAGAGTGCTGAATATCCCATCAACTGGCAAAGAACAAATACTTGTGTCTGGGGAAAGGTGCAGCCAAAGTGCTCTTTAGAGGCAAACATGATGACACTTGATCTCACATACTTTGGACATGTTGTTAGGACAGGCTATTCCTTCAAAAAGGACATCATTCTTGGAAAGGTGGAGGGTCAGGGAAAGATAAGATTCTCAACCAGATGTATTGACACAGTGACTGTGGCAATAGTCTCAAGTGTGTCAAGGATTGTGAGAATGGCAGTATAGGACAGGGTCAGATCTGTTGTTCATTGGGTTGCTATGAGTTGTACTCAGCTCAGTGGCACCTAACAGCAATAATAACATGCCTATACACACACGTATACACATATTTATATACATATGGTGGCCTAGTACTAAGAAGTTGTGCTGCAATCCCAAAGGTACATGGTTCAAATCCACCAGCTGCTCTGTGGTAAAAGGATGGGCAATATCCTTCTGTATGATTTACTGCCTCTGAAAACCCACTGAAGGATCTGCTACAAGTCAATTCCAACTCAACAGTATGCAACAACACACATATTCGTGTACAGATAGGCATGTTTTTGTTGTTTTTGTTGCTATGTGCCATTGAGTCGCTTCAACTCATAGCGACCCTATGTACAACAGCCCTAAACCCTGCTCTATCCTGTGCCAATTTCATTGTCTCTGACACACCCATCCCGATTACCCCAGTCACTGAATCAATCCACCTCATAGAGGGTCTTCCCCTCCTGTGCTGTCCCTCCACCCTCCCAAGCATGACATCCCTCTCCAAGGACTGGTCCCTCCTTGCAACATGTCCAAAGTATGTCAGACAGACCTTCAGTATCCTTGCCTCCAAGGAGCAGGAGCCTGGTGGTGGTGAGTGGGGTGAAAAGGAAATGTCGACAAACACATTTTTACTTCTCCATGGGCTCCTTTGTGCCCTTAGAACAGTGAGTTCTCTCTGAGCTCCTTTCCTCATCAATGTCAGGACCCCTTGGTCCTGACTTGCCGTGAGCATTATAGATTAAATACACGGGGAACACAGCCTAGGGCCTTCCTGACACAAGCCTTATTAAATTGTGTTGAATTTTTTTTCACCCCCTGCAGCTGCTGGTGAAGAACATCCAGTTAGAAAATGGCAAGATGATTCCAGCATCACACTTCTTCCGGGGAGAAGCTTCTGATGTCCTTGAACTCACAGAGGAGGAGCGGGTCACTGCCGAGGCCGTGAGGGTAGGAAGTGGCTGCAAGCCTGCTGTGTGGCTGGGCAGCCAAGGCATGAGAGGCTCGTGCATGGCACTTCCTGGAGTCTTCCTGCACACCCTCTGGGGATTCCTGCAGTGTGTCAGGCACACCGTTAGGTTTAGAAATGCTTTTCTGTCTTGGAGCCTTCTCTTTCCTGGGCCCTCCACCCTTGACCCCTCAGACTTCCTCCCCGTCCCCCCTACCCATCCACCTTCCAGGATTTAACAAACTGGATAGGATATTTCTGGGGCCTCATTGTCAATAATGGGCAAATGAAATAGAAGCTTCTGGAACAACTGGAAGAGTTTGGTACCGAGCACCGTGCTTCTGTGATGAGACCTTCCCAAAAAGCTGCCTGATGGGAAGCGTCACGGACTTTGAAGAGCAGAGGCTTCATGATCATGCAGACTGGCTTCCCATCTAACATTGCCCTAGGGTGAAGCCAGAGAGAAGGCTTCCCTCTGAGGCACAGTCTTCTCAACTTAAAATTGGGCAACATTCACTTCCCAGCACTCATTCTAAGCCCTCCCTGCTCCCTCTTGGACATAGTCTTCCTCCTGGTGGATATCTTTTTTAATATTTTCATCCACTCATTGATTTCATCATTCATTCACTTACTCACTTTTAAAAATTATTGAACCCTACTAGGTTCCAAGCACTAAACTGAACTCCAGGACTAAGATGAGTGCTCCGTTGGTCCAATGGCGTTTACCATCTCCTGGGGAAAGGATGCAAGGAATTGCCCAAATAGATTAAGGCTGAGAAGAGAGAAGTGGCCTGAGACTGGGAGACAACCTCAGAAAGAATAGTCAGAGGGAGCCTTTCTGAGGAGGGGACATTGACCCGAGTGGAGCAGAAGGAGGATCAGGAACAGTGAAAGCTGAGACTCTCATGAGGAAAGACCTTTCTGGGTCTGAGGAGGCTGTAAGGAGGCTCTTGAGCAGGTGCTTAGGAACAGAGCAAGCTGGAGGGAGGTGGCAGGTCAGTGGACTGGGCTAGTGACTATGGTTAGATCACTCATAGTAAGATCAGCAAAGGAGGGGCAGGAGGAGTATGCACTGGACCAGAGGCACTGGAAAGCCCAGAGCATCCTTGGAGACTGAGCATCGTGAAGGTCTGTCAAAAAAGTCTAGTCCTCCAAAATGTGTTTCCTGAGACACTGCTTTGACCGACCGTGTGCCTGGCCCACAGGTTACAGGGCAGCTGGGGAGATGCTCCTCTGGACTCACATGAAAGGAGAATGTCTGTTTTCAGAGCTGAAAGCTGAAGGGAATTTTTAAGGACCTGGTTGAAATATGCTGCCTTGAGATAGCGACAGCTGAGTCCTTCCTCTGTCAAGCAAACCCCACCTTAATGGATGTTGTGAATATTGACTGTGGTGATTCATATGGAAAGGATTTGTTTCATGTTCTAAGCACTTCTTGGAAATTTAGTAAATGTTGGTATTGGTTCTAATAATCATATAAAAGCAGATACGTCTAGAGTGTGTACCGATGCAGCGCACCTCTGAAATAGCAGTAATAGTTGTTATTACAGCAATTCTGCAAAGTGAATGTTGTCACCTTCCATCCATGGAGGAGTCAGTGGAGTCCTAGGTGAGTTGGGGGCACTGCGGCTGAGCCTCGGGAGCCCCACACTCAGTCAGGATTGTGATTATGGCGCCTCCTGGCCAGGCCTGACAGGGTAGTTTCAGAATCTGTGGTCTGGAGGCAAGTGGAAAGGAGGGGCGTGGGCAACAGCAAGAGTGGTCAGCTGGTCTGGGAGTGAGACAGGACCCAGGATTAGTCACAGCGAGGGCCAATCTGTGTCCATTGTATGGACATCCCCAAGTGTCCCCATGAGCTGAGAAGATCTGACAAAGAAGTCCACCCTTCACACCTTCCTGGGCTGTAGCTCTGAGGCTCCTTATACATCCACTGGGCACCCAGGCTTTCCACATGCAGGCTGACAGCACTCAGGCAGCAGTAACTGACCCCAGGACTGGGAAGGTCTGTGGAGGGACAGTTCTTGCTCCCAGCGCTCTGTGGAATCTTTCTAGGAGAGGCAGGCAGACGTCTACTGCTGAGGGCCACAGTGAAAACTACTGGCAAATGTTGGGCCCCTCCCCAAAAGAGGAAAAATGCAGCCAGGGTGAAGATCAGCTAAAACTACTGTAGACACCGGCTGTGTAACACACTTCAACCAAGCATCTTCTCCAACTTGGTGGCAAAAACACGGTCAGAATTCCCATTGCCTGGACCATAGCCAGAAAGGACGCAGGTATGGCACTCCTGGCTCTTGGAAGCTTACAGGCTCCTTTCTTGACAAACCCAGACTAGAGCCTATCCAGAGGACAGCTGTTCACCTCTGACCTGCTGAATGGCCTTAACCGAACAGAAGGGCAAGCAGAGCTGTAGAAGCCAGGTCCATCAACAGGACCAGAGTGCTGTGGCAGAAGCAAGGGTGACAGGGTGCAACCATGTGCATTTTACTGTCCTTTCTACGTCTCTTCTATGTCTCTTTCTATCATCTCTCCTAGCCCACAGGGTCTCTGCAGTCACAGGGAGGGCAGATGACTTGCCTTGTTCAAAAAGAATTTAGTACCCAGGTATCAGCAAGGCCTTTCCCTGTCTCCAGCCACCACTAACCTCCATGTTGCTCATGCACTTCACTCAGAAGCATACACATCCCACCACGCTGTGTCCTCCCTTCCTTGTTATATGACCAAGTGCCAATGTCGGACTCAGGCCACTAAGAAAAAACTTTGGGTGTGGGATCAGTGCATGGTGATTGGGTCCCGGTCCCGGTCATGCTCTTTGCTCGGGGTGGTCATCCTTCCACTGGCCCTGGGACTCTGTGGGGACATTGACTAATGATCTCAGAGAGGCTGGAATCTTAAAGGACTTGCATGTGAGGACAGCAGCTCCTGGGTCAGAGGCCTTGGCTGATCCACTTGCTTGAGGAGGGACCTGAGACCTTCGTAGGGGGCAGCCGTGTTACAGAGAGGACAGAAGAGGTCCACATCTCTTCCGGGCCATGGAATGACTGATGTCTGGTGTTGCCTACTGTGGTCCTGCCCCCCTTATAAGGAGCCTCATCCTCACATGACCTTGTTTTTCAGAGTATCTGGAAGAAGATCCTCCCTAATATCTTGAAGGTTGAAGACTCCACTGATTTCTTCAAGTCGGGGGCTGCCTCTGTGGATATTGTAAGGTAAGATCAGCAGCAGATGGTCTTTGTTTGGCTTCAAACCTAGGGGGAAATCACTTAGTATAAGTGTTTATGGAAAGACAAACTGACCCAGAGTCAAGCTGAAAGGCATCCATGTATTGTTTTGGGGGGAAAACTTACATACATGAAAATGAACAGTGCTCTAACCAGAGACAGCTGCCTGGACGGGTATGAATTCTTCCCACCCTCCGAGAAGGGAAAGTGAATGTACAAGGTGAGGGGAGTGCCCACAGACAACACTATGCTCGTAAATATTTCGATAATAAATCATACTACAAAAGCAAAAAAGGAGAGGAGTCAGTCAAAACCATCAAGTTGGTCCAAAACACTGACACCAGAACCAGAAAGAAGGGGAAAAATATATGTTATGGTTGCTGTTGTTTGTTGTTGAGTTGCAACCAACCCATAGCTCACTTCCCAGCAGGTTTTCAGAGGCAGTAAATCACCCAAGAGTAAATTGCTCATCCTTCTTCCACACAGCAGCTGGTGGATTCAAACCATGTGCCTTTGGGATTGGAACAGTTTCTTATCACTAGGCCACCAGTTAGTTGAAAATCAGGAGCTCTGGTGGCCTAGTGTTAAGGAGCTGTGCTTCCAACCCAAAGGATGTGGTTCAAATCCACCAGCTGCTCTGCAGAAGAAAGATGGGCAGTCTCCTCCCATGCATTTCATTGACTCCAAAAACCCACTGGAGGGTCAGCTGTGGGTCCAGTTCCAACACAATGGTCTACAACAACAGAAAACAGAGATAACTAACTTAGCTTAACTCAGCTCTAACTTAGTTTGTCCCAGAATTAGCCACTTTTAAAGGATGCTTGCCACCTTCCATACAGTCCTGTATACTGTTCCAGTCACTGCAGAATCAAGTGGCATAAGGCAAGTCACCATGCTTTTCTTGTAGAAGTGTCGGTGCAGCCCAACAGGGTGACTTTCCTGTTTCACCTGTGGCAAGCCTAAGCCGAGAAGACTTAGACCGGACCTAGCAGGGCAGGAATGTCTGCATTCAGTGTGACCTCTTCAACCCAGGCCTTGACACTGAGTTGGGCTATCTACAGGGTCTCTGAGGAACATGATACCACAAGACCTGGGACCCTGAGAACTGGTGGGTGTGGCATCATCTAAGGAAGATGTTGCTGTGCCAACCTTGGGCCATCACACTTCATCCCTCCAATGATACTTGACAGCAGCCATCAGCCTGCCTAGATTCAAGGGTAGAATCTTAGACCTCAGCTTGTCTATAGAGGAGTATCATAGAATTTCTGGCTATATTTTAAAATTGCCACAATCCCTAAAACCTCCAATAAAGGCAGATACATGTCAGAAGAGCAGGGAGAGGGTGAACACATGCCTCTAACCTCAAAAGTGGCAACACTGAGATGTTGGAGGGTGGGAGAAAAGAGAGGACAGAATGTTGATCCCAGCATATCTAGAATCAACGTTTAGTTTCTGTACAGTGCACTTTGGAGATTTAAATTGATCAGGGTTATAAACATTATCAAAATACATGTATGAACAATCCACACTTCAATCAAATATCGCCTAGGAAGTTTTTCTTCTGACCTTTTTCCAGCCAATTCTCCCGTACTCCAAGGAAAAACCATTACCATGGATCAACCCATTTTCCCTATTCTTTTTTTTTTTAAATATATGTTTACAAAGTTGGACTCGACAGCACTTAACAACTACAACATAAAGAGAGCTCTGTTGGCCTACCAAGCCAAAGGTGGGTGATTTTAATCCGGGACCCTCAGGCTTGGTGGTAGTTGTTTTTGGTCAAACATTCTTCTAACTAGTATAGCACTGGTCTGTCCATTTGCTGTACAGAGGTAACTCATGGTTGCTGTGATGCTAAACACTGTGACACTGATAAGTCAAATGCGATAATGGTTATCCATGGTGGACAGCGCTTGGTGGCACTTCCCAATTAAAACAAGCGTGGAAGCAGGAGTGGCATCCGCTTCCAAAATGGCTTGCCTCTGGAAACTCTAAGAATGTGGAGAAACAACGAAAGTTATACAAGTGTTCAGGTCTTTCATTCATGGGCTTGCTATGAGTTGTCTACAACTCAATGGCACCTAACAACAACAATCACACTTAAAAAGTTTATTTACAAAGTTTAATACACTGTTTTTCACACCAGATCTTTCCCATTCCCTTTACACACCCCCACCCATCAAAGTGTAAAACCGTATAATAACCACCCCCATCCTCACTCCTCTGCTTCCACCCAACCTCATTGGATCCTCATAGTCATTCTACAATAATGGTTTTCTACACTATTTGCTCCCTATTCTTGAACTTCACACACATTGGCACTTACCAGTCATTAGTTCTAATTTGTATAAAGGCAAGTAAGTATGCTAAAATATTTTTGCCTAGGCAATCAATCAGTCATTGATTGCTGACTATTCTTAGGACTCAGATTACATCATTAGCTCCCTTCTTCTCCACTCTCGCCTCTGGGTAATCTATTTCTGGTCAGGGTCTCTCTTCATAATGACAGCAGCTGCACAAGAATACCAGTGCGATTTCTCATCTTTTCCATATGCCCAGTGAAACAAGGGGTTTGCTTTGCTTGTAAGTTTCCATTTTAATCTTAGAGTGGTCTTTCATTGCCTCTGATAAAACCATGTATCCCAGTAAGAATCAATCACTGTGACCACACCATTCTCTGATTGGCTCCAAACTTGGGCATCCACGGTTGAGTCACCTATAATCAGTTCACACCTTTGGAAAGAGATAAAGTTGTTGTTGTTGTTGTTTTTATGTACCATCGAGTTGCCTGCGGCTTATGGTGACCCTGTGTACAACAGCTCTGAAGCCTGCCCCATCCACTGACTCCAACACACCTACCCCCATTGCCCCAGTTACTGTGTCAATAATCTCAGCTGGGTCTTCTTTCTAAGAGAAAGTTGGTCCCTTAGAATCTGTGAATACTATTTCTAGTAGCAATGAACAAGTGCTGGGAAGGCCAAGCCAGTGTGAGAACCCAGTGATTTTTTTGTATTTCAAGAAGGCATACATGAGCAAAATAAGCAAGGAGGTTTGCTGCTGATGTTGTGTAAAAGAAAATTTTTTCTAGAAACATGCTTTACCGGCATCTATACTTCTGTGTCCTCATCAAGCTGAGAACTATGGAAGGGGGAGGCTTACTTAGAAAAGAAATGCATAGGTTTGGATTAGAGAAAGATATTGAGATTGTTTGATTACATAGAACGTGTAAAATCTGCTCTTTGTGACCACAAAGTCTTACCTTCATACTACCAAAACCTGTAGGAAGAGATAAGAAGAGGACTTGCAAGTGAGATCCTGGAGGAGGCAAATATGAGCCAAAAGCCTCTTTAACCGAGATACCAGAAAGCAAAGATAGCAGATAAAGAGGATAATTCTGCAACCCTGAGTCAAAAAGGAAAAAATACAGAAGTAAATTAAGCACCAGCTAAAGGAAGAGATGGAATTAAAACACAGAATAAGAAGAATGGAAGGGGGGGGACATCATCAAAAGCCTATACAACCATTTTGAACTACAGTCTTGCTTGCTCAGGACTCAGACCACAGTGGCACCCACAGCTGAACAACAAGAGAGTCAGAAATCATTTCCAGCCACACACACACCTCCTGTAGCCTCACCTATCAAGCAAGAGCAGAAACGGTCACTGCTCCACCTGATCAACAAAAGATTGCAGCCGGCACAGTCAAGTCCGCCCTCATCTCCTCTGCACGGTGAGCAAAGAACTGCGTGCACACACACATCTCCATCCACTACCATACCCACCACATGGCAGCAGTGGAAAACCAACCATTAGCGAGCGGTGCACTTACATGGCCTAACTAGATATATCAAAGCAGAGTCATACAAAGATAATATCACAATGTCTTGGGGACAACAGATGACAGCAAACCACTCAAAAAAGCAGGATAAAATGGCACCAAACAGTCATCATCATAAAGAACCAGAAAATCTTTACTTTCCGGAATGTTTCCATTGTAATGTATCTGATTTCTTTTTTTCACAATTAGTCTGTCATAGTATGCTTTGAAGAGGAAGATCAGCATGAAAGTGCTATTCTCGTCAACATGTTAAGGATTCAGTCTCCCAATATAACTTTGTACTGCTGATGTTGATCCTAACCCCTTCTTGATTTGCAAAGCTTCTTCACTGTAAAGTTACTTTCTTTTATCCATGCTGGATGCTTTAAAAGAAAGTCACAGTGTGTTGCCTATATTCAAGGAGTGGAGAGTTATGCTCTGCTCCTTTTAGGTAATATATCTACAAAATTATTTGGAATTCTGCACATGACACTTGTCTGTCCTCTGTACTTGTTATTGTTATGTGCCATTGAATCACCTGTGACTCATAGGACCCTGTGGACAATAGCTCTGAATTGTGCTCCATCCTGAGCCAGTCTCACTGTCTCTGGCACAACTACCCCATCACCCCAGTCACTGGGTCAATCCATCTCATCCAGAGATATTACTGATTCGTGTACATTTCTTTTATTCATACTATATTATTTTATTGCTCAAATGTCCCAACTTTGGCCACTCTTTCAGTTGGCTCATATGTCCCTGAAATGCACCTCATCATTGCAATTTGGTTTTGAACACTTCACATACTTTTCTGAAATTGCAATATTCTATAGTCACATCCGTCTTTTTCTTGACCCATCTCTACAACCGGTCATGTCTTCAAGTCCTGGTTCCTTTTATTGGAAGAAGGGCTTTAAAACCACGATCTGAATGTAGGCGTTCTCATTGCTAATCGAGTGTCATTTGTTCTAGGGCCTCATGGCTAAAGGAGCTCTGATGTCCTACTCCAAAGCACACTGCGCTTCTAGACCAAAGGCCACATGTCTGAAGCAGTTCAAATTCACCAATCGAAGGGAGCTCTGGTGGCCTAGTGGCAAGAAGCTGCACTGCAATCCCAAATTCACCAATGGCCCCATGAGACAAGCAGTCTGTGGCCCTTAAGAGTTGCCGACTTGACAACCTGAGGTCCCTATGAGTTGGAATCAAGTCAGTGGAAGTGAGTTTGAATTTTGAGTACACTAACCCACGTATACATATGTACTTGTTTGTATCAATAAATGATAAAAGAAGATCAAAGCCTACAGCTTTTCAAATGTATTGCACCTCAATATCAAGACAACAAAAATCTTTGCCACTGGACCAATTGACAACATCCTGATCAGCGGAAATTAGATTGGAGTTATCTGATTTCATTTTACTTGGACCCACATTCATCATCCATGAGAACAGCAGTCAAGAAATTAAAATATGTGTTGTATTGGGGAAACCTGCTGTCAAGGACCTCTTTTGGGTGTTAAAGAGTAAGGATATCAGTTTAAAGACTACAATGTGCCTGACACAAGACACAGTCATTTGCTTCAAATGCATGCAAAAGTTGAACAATGAATAAAGAAGACCAAAGAATTGGTGCCTTTGAATTGTGGTGCTGAAGAAGAGTACTGACTATCTCACAGACTACCAAAAGATCGAACAAGTCTGTCTCAAAGGAAGGACCCCCAGAGAGCTCCTTAAAGGCGAGGGTGGGGAACTCCACCTCACATTTTTTGAACTTGCCATCAGGAGAGGTCAGTCCTTAGACATCCTGCTGGGGAGACATCATTCTGAGAAAGGAGACAGCAAAAAAGAGGAAAATTCGCAATGAAATGAATTGACACAATGATTTTAACAATGGGTTCGAGCATTTGGAGATCATGAAGAGATACAAAAAAGGGCAAGTTTCAGATCTGTTACTCAGAGGGTTAATATGAGTTGTAGTTGATGGCACTGAACAACAGTGGTTAAGTATTTTCTTTTTGCCAAAATCCCAGATTCACATAGGGAAAGCATTTTATATCAGCTTGGAGAAGTGACCGGATTCCAGATGCCAGACAAGTCTGGAGGCCTAATGGTAAGGAATTTCACTGGCAAGTCAGAGGTAGCCTATTCAAATACACTAGTGGGTCCGTGGAAGAAAGATTGGAAATCTCCTCCTGTGTGATTTGTTGCCTCTGAAAACCTGCTGGCGGGTCAGCTATGGGTTCAACAGTACACCACCACAACAGGCCACCAAAGTTCCCTCATTATAAGGAAAGACCACAATTTCCTTATTCATTCACCTGTTGATGTACATTGAGGATGTTTTTAGTCTGTAGCTTTTATGAACAAGGCCACTGAGAACACTTAATTCTTATCCATCAACTGCTCTGTGGGAGAAAGATGGGCAACCTCTTTCTGTGTGATTTACTGCCTCTGAAAACCCATGGGAGGGCCAGTTATGGGTCAGTTTCACCTCAATGGTATGCAACAACAATGAGAAATAGGTTGAACATCTTTTAATATGTCACAGCTTATTTGCTGTACCTGTTTCCTCTTTGGTAAATTTTTTACATGTTTTTGATTGGTTGTTAATTTTCTAAGTGTTAAATTTTGAGAGTTTAAAACCTAATGGTAATTCCACTGCCTCTGTGAAAAAGGAAATTATTGGAATAAGAGTTGAAATCAGTGGAATAGGAAACAGGAAAACAATTGAAACCATCACTAAGACCAGGAGTTGGCTCCTCAAAAGAGTCAATAAAATAAACAGACCATTGGCAAACTTAACCCAAAAGAGGATACGAATAATAAGAGTAAGAAATGAAAGAAGCGACAGCACAACAGAACAAGCTGGAATTAAAATTTTATTATGGGATTATTATGAAAAGCTATAGAACCTAAACTGTTTGCTGCAGAAGGTTAAGAACTGCAGCCTTCAATATGGATTGAGGTTCAATATCAAGAAGACAAAGATTCTCACCACTGGACCAATTAGCAGCATCAGGATGAATGGTGAAGAGATTGAGATTGTTAGCAGCTTTAGTTTACTTGGCTCCACAATCAACACGTATGGCACCAGCATCCAGGAAATTAAAAGATGTATTGATATGGAAGTCTGATGTTTGAGATCTCTCCAAAGTACTAAAGACCAATGATGTCACTCTGGAGACTAAGGTGCACCTGATACAGGCCATGGTCTTTGCAATCACTTGCTATGCATCAGAGAACTGGACAATGACTAGGGATGATAGAAGGAGAATTGATGCCTTTGAGCTGTGGTGCTGGAGAAGAATATTGAATATAACATGGACAGCTAAGAAAATGAACAGGTTCATCCAAAAGAGAGTTAAACCAGGCTGCTCCTTGGAGGCAAGGATTCTGAAGCTTTGTCTGACATACTTTGGATATGTTGCAAAGTGGGACCAGTCTTTGGAGAAGGACATTATGCTTGGGAGGGTGGAGGGACAGCACTGGAGAGGAAGACCCTCTATGAGATGGATTGATTCAGTGACTGGGGTAATGGGAGTGGGTGTGTTGGAGACAGTGAGATTGGCATAGCTTAGAGCAGGGGTTAGGGCTGTTGTCTCAAGCAACTTAATGACACATAACAATAACAACAGTACTCCTCCAATACTATCACATTGATGTTTCAAATGCGATAATGGTTACCCAGGGTAGAGAGTATTTGATGGCGCTCCCAGATTAAAACAGGCTTGGAAGCAGGAGTGACATCCACTTCCAAAATAGCTTACCTCCGGAAACTCTATAAATTTAGAGAAACAACAAAAGTGGGCTTTCGTTCATAGGGTCACTTTGAGTCATCTACGGCTCGATGGCACTTAACAACAACATACTCCAACAAACTTAAAAACATAGAGGAAATGGACAAATTCCTAGAAACTAACACCTTACCCAAAGGAAGCTCTAGTGACCTAATGATAAGAAACTGCACTGCAATCTCCAAGGCACATGGTTTGAATCCACCAGCTGCTCCACGGAAGAAGAACGGGCAATCTCCTTGCATGCTAATTACTGTCTATGAAAACCCTCTGGAGGGTCAACTGTGAGTCTGTTCTGACTTCACCACACACAACAACAATATTCTGACAAATTTGAAAACCTAGAGGAAATGGACAAATTCCTAGAAATCCACACCCTACCCAAATTGACACAGATAGAAATAGAACATTTGAACAGACCCATCACAAATCAAAAAAGAAATTGAGCAAGTCATAAAAAGGCTCTCCCCTTAAAAAAAAAAAAAAGTCCTGGCCCAGACAGATTCACAGGTGAATTCTACCAAACATTCAGAGGCAAACTATCATTAATTCTACTTACATTATTTCAAAAAAATAGAAAAAGGAAGTTCCTAGAGTCATTTTTATGAAACAATTATAACCCTAATACCAAAAACAGGCTAAGAAATAAAAAAAAAAGAAAACTGTAGATCAATATCTCTCATAAACATAGTCGTAAAAATCCACAACAAAATCCAGGCCATTAGAATCCAACAGTATACATATTTACAATAATTCTTTTGATTAACCAATTCTAGGTTAACTTCTAGATTTGTGATGCTAGGATGCAAATCTCACAAGGTAAATGTTTTGGTGCCTCTCTTTTGCCACAAAGTCTACTGAGGCTCTATCTCCGTCCTCTCTTTTTCATCCAGGCTGGTGGAGGAAGTGAAGGAACTCTGTGATGGCCTAGAATTGGAAACAGAAGAGGTTTACATGGCTACCAGCTTTGGAGACTTCATCCAGTTGTTAGTGAGAAAGTTGCGAGGGGAAGAGGACAACAACGAACAAGACATTGATTACGTAAGTCCCAGTTTCCTTTCCTGAAGGACGTGACCCTATGGACCCCTCAGACATTCCCATCAATGGATTCACAGTAGCACATGGGAGAAATGGAATGTCCAAAAAGCCACAACCCTATGAAGTGACTCCTATGTTCCCAGCTCTCCCTGAACACAGGGTAACCTGAGGACATCAAGAGAGACAGGCAAACTAAAGAATTAGTGTCTCATGCTCGCTTTGGCAGCACATATACTAAAATTGGAACGATACAGAGAAGATTAGCATGGCCCCTGCGCAAGGATAACATGCAAATTCATGAAGCGTTCCATATTTTCGACCCTGAAATTAACCAGTCTGTAATGAAGGCTAACTCCTTTCCCCTACAAATTTCGTCTTTGGATACAAAGCTAAGTGGATAGTCCTTACGGAGGGACTGTTTAAAAAGAGGAAGGGAGAAGAAAAGGAAAAAAAAAAAAGAATTAGTGTCTCATGATCAGTGTATGTGACTGACACACTGCCACTGAGTTGAACCTGGCTCATAGCAACCCTTCATCGGGTTTGCAAGGCAGTAAATCTTTATGTGAGGAGACCATCCACCTTCTCCCATGGAGCCACTGGTGATTAAAAACACCAGAGATACACAGTTCTGTGGTTAGCAACACAACACACTACAAGCTATGCCATGAGACCTCCATAGTCATGAGACCAGGATAATGAAAAGAGGCTTTGAATGTTTGGCAAGGAAAATGAATGACCCTATACATTCAACTTGCATATATAGCAGTGCAACAAATTAATCACAAATCTGTTATATAAAGATACTCTTAGAAAAGTGTCTTGAAGTATCTTTGTTGGCTACCAATTCCCATGAGCATTGATTTTGAGATAGTTGGCTTGGAGGTAACTGGGAGCAAAAACTCATGGAGAAATACATGTGGTCAAAGCAGAGATTAGATTGACCTTGGAACTTCCATAAAAGATCAAAGAACAGATTTCAGGAGGGATAATAGCTTCCCGGAGGTTCTGCCCTTCAGCATGGATTTGTTTGGGTAAAACCAACCTTACTTCTTGTTCCTGGTAAAGCAAAGAGAGTGATGCAGACCAGATGGGACCTCTTCATCTAAATGACATTTGCCTGGTCCTCGTGTATGCCCTGCACTGTCACTTTGTAGATATTAATGCAATGCGCCCACTGTGCCCTGTGAAGGGACACAAACCCCGTCTCAGGTTGCACAGCTAGTGAGCTGCACAGCCGAGGTATCATTCAGTCAGTACTGGCTCCTCAAATTGCTTGTTACCATTTACCCCATTGACCCATTGACTTTCAGCACCTCCCCAGGCCAAGGGGGCTACAGAGCCCTGGATTTACAAAAGAGCCCTTGAGGAGGCTGATTGCTGTAGCTGCCATGACTCACTCTGTCTCTGTTTCTGAGTTTCTGTCGTGTGTGTGTGTGTGTGTGTATGTGTGTGAAAGAGAGAGAGAGAGAGTGTGTGTGTGTGTGTGTGTGTGTGTGTGTGTGTGTGTGTGTGTGTGTGTCAGTCAGTCTAGATGTGTTCTTGCTCTGTGTTTAAATGCAGGCCTATGTATGCGCGCTTGTGTATACTTCCTATGTCATTACTGTGAGCTTTGTGCTCATCACCAAGACCAAATTGTGAAGAGTTCTTTTTTCCAGGTGGAAAAGTCAGTGAATAAGCTGACCCTCCGAATGCCCCACCAGCTCTTCATTGGGGGGAAGTTTGTGGACGCTGAGGGTAATGAGACCTTTGACACCATCAACCCTACGGATGGAAGCGTGAGTCCTCGGCCTCTCCTCCCCCAATCTCCCCCACACCACCAACGCCTCCAATGAGACTTGGACCTGGCACCCTCTGTCATTATCTCAATAGTGTCCTCAGCAAATGTCATTCAGTCTCCTGTCTCCCCTGGACCCTGACCTCACTTCCACACTTCCTATAGGAGTGTCTGAGGGTGATGATAAAGATAAAGAATCAGAGAATAGGAGAGGATTTTGAGCCTGTTTCAGAGACTGGGAACAAACTATAAATCCCTAATGGAAGAAATGAAGGTCGCTCCCCCAACACACACAGACAGACAAAATCTCATACTTCACAATAACCAGCGTGAGCCCGTCCACCAGCAGAATTCTTTCCTTGAATTCCAGTGTCTTTGAAATTTTCTTGAGTGGGCTGAGTATTTGACATCATGACCCAGTACACACACATTCGTGTTCATGCACATGCCATGTGAGATGAAATTTCAGGAAATGAAAGTACTCAAAGATGCGTACTAATGTTGCTGCATCCTAGCCTGTCAGGGTCTCTGCAGAAAATAGACAGCACACTCCAAGGAGGTAGTTTGAGGGCAAAGTAGTGAAAGCACTACTTACAAAGTGTTGAAAAGTATCTAAGGGAACAAGCCAGGATGGTGTGGTACTCTCTGTACCGAGACCCCAGGGAGCTGTTGTTACCTCTATGCCGCTGAAGTTACCACCAGGCCCCAGGGACAGTAGCCTGTGCTGAAGGCTGCCCCCGGTGCAGGCTGGGACCTCTGGAGGGAGGAACAGCCTCCCTGACCACCACCAGCAGGAAGGGGAAGGTGATACAGAATCTGAGTCCCAACCTCCCTCTGGTCCGTGTGACAACACCTGTGGGTGCCATGCTCACAGGGAAGAGAGGGAGTGGGGAGGGGATGCATGGAGCGAGCACCCTGGCCTTAAATCATTAGTCTGCTTTAGGAGAAAATGAGTTCCACTGTCAGTTTTAATAACATCAAAAGCTGCTGAGTCTTCTCATTGCCTTTTGTGCCTGCTTGGGCTACCTCACTGAAAATGTGAAGGTCACATCCAACAGAAACACAAATTTTTTTTCCCTAAGACCCCACTGTTGACAAGGCCATCTCTGCTCCCTGTCATTGGTCTGCTCATGATGGCCCAGGTGTCGAGAGCGGAGGCTGTCACTGTCTGCTCCCTCACAGGTCATCTGCCAGGTGTCCCTGGCCCAGAGTGCTGATGTTGACAAGGCAGTGGCTGCTGCAAAGGACGCCTTCGAGAACGGGCTGTGGGGAAAGATCAACCCTCGGGATCGGGGACGGCTTCTGTCCAGGTCAGAACCCACCACTTCTCTGTCAGCTGTTCTCACCTTCATGTGTTGTGATGACTGAGAGGGTCAGGGAGGCCCAGAGCTGCCCCACTCCAGCTAAGGAGAGTGACTCAAGATGGGAGGTCAGATGGGGGAAGGGGTGCTCCAGCAGAAGGCCCAGCTTGAGTGAAAGCAGAAGGAGGTGCAAACCAAGGGTGGACAGTCACTACAGATCCTGCAACGATCCAAGCAAGACAGAGCCATTTAACCTAGGACAAGGGGCCAAGAATCTCCTGTCTACAAAAGGCAATGAGGCAGGGATCAGGATCCACAAGCCCCTCAGGAAGTCCTCTGCCTGCCTCCTGCTGTCTTGTTTGTGACTGATCAAATGGAATTGTCTCATAGGAGTAGAAACCAGGTTTGCCAGAGCTCCTGGTCTCACATTTGCCTTTTCCTTCTTCCTTTTTCCTTTCGATAGGGTCTGTCTTCCATAGGTCGAGTTTGACAGGGAAGGAAGTAGGATTGCTCTAACTGAGGCTCACCAGGGAGGAGGGGCTCAGAAGAGGGGTGCTGTTCCCCTAAACCTAAGGTCTCCTCAGTGAGGGAAGAAGCAGCTGTCCATGGAGGTAGATGTCTAAAAGAAAAAAGAGAGATGGCTGGAGGAACCAATCACTGTTTCTGGAAAGCACAGTGAGCACTTTGCTGTTGTGAACCGTTGAGTTGGAACCAACCCATAGCTGACCCTCCAGTCGGTTTTCAGAGGCAGTTAATGGCATGGGAGGAGATTGCCTATCCTTCTCTCTTGGAGCAGCTGGTAGCCTCGAACAACATGCCTTTGAAATTGCAGCGCAGCTCCTTACCACTAACTAGGCTACTAGTGTTCCCTTTGGAGACTGGAATTCTCATCTGACATTTGGGGAGCAGGGAGTGCTAGGGCCAGGCTGTCACCCACCCAGTCGGAGCAAGTCTGTCACCTAGGCAGAGGAGGCCTGGCCCTGTCCTGCAGTCACAGTGGCCTTCTCTCTACTCCAGAGGCAGGAGCCCCAGGGCAGCCACAACAGCAGACCCAGAAAGGAACCTGCACATTTTCCTGTCAAGGAAAAAGTCCTCGGGCTGAGGCAGGAGAGAGCTTGGAGGTCAGGCTCGTCCAGCCTGCCATATGCAGTTCAAGTTTATGTCAAGACTCCATGGAGAAGACATCAATTTAGGAAGACATTTGACCGATGGCAGAGCGTCCCCAGGACTTCTGGATCTGCTGGCCACGCTGCAGGCAGGATTGGGGCACCTGCAGGCCCTGGAGTAATGCTTTTTGGAGGTAGACTTTGGGACAGCCTTGAGGGATGACTGGATGAGAAAAAGCATCCTTTCCTCAGATGCACTACTGCCATCTGCTGGACTATGTTGTAATAACTACTCATCTGAGATGGCATTGATGACAATGGCGCCCCTTCACTGCTGCAGAGACACCTGTACTGGGCCAATGTCTCCAGACCCAGAGGAGACCTCCCTAGCGGCCCAGGCCTGTCCTGAACAATCCTCCATCCTATACCAGGTGCTCTTCCAACTGAGTTCAACTCATAGTGACCATATGAACAAGAGGTCTGAACCCTGTCCTATGTTGTGCCTTCTTTGTCATCCAGGATAAGCTCACACTCATTGCTATGGTTGATCCAACTCATCAAGGGTATTCCTCTGCTCCACAGACTCTCCACTTTTCCAAGTATGATGTCCTTTTCCAGGGACTCATCTCTCCTAAAAACATGCTCAATATATGTGAGATGAAGCTTCCCCTCCTTGCCTCCAGGGAGCACTCTGGCTGCCCATTCTCCAGGACCTAGCTATTTGTTCTTTTGGCCATCCATGGGATACTTGGTACTCTTCTCCACAACCCCAAGCATTGCTTCTTGTTCTGTCATCTTTATTCATTGTCCAACCTTTAGATGCATAGAAAGTGACCCAGCACAGATCCCCTCTGTGCCTCTAGACTGGTGTCAGCTGGAGAAGATTCTTATTCTGTGTGTCCTAGGAGTTGGATTATAACGTAGCCACATCATGTGCACTTGGTCTGTTCTATGAAGTAAATTTGTCTTCATGGTTGATAGCGCACTCTCTTAAATGAGATGGTGTTTTGCCATCGTGATCCAACCTGAGCACTGGACAGCTGCTGGAGGGCCTGATGGGGCAGGTGAGGCCAGCATTGGAACTGGCAGTGCCCTCTGGTTGCTATATGGAGAAGGGTGTATGGCAGGAAATACACACGAGGCTTTGACCATGGACTCATCACCATGCCTAGTTTCCCTGTATGTCAATGGAGAGGTCCCTTAGATCCACAGTTTCCCACCTCTCCCTTCTGTCCGGCCCCTCAAGGACGAGTGTTCACAGCAGCGATAGTGTTAGAGTCACAATCTGCCCAGGAAAGCATGACCCAGCCGGGTGCATCCTGGAAAGGCAAGCAGATGTCAGTGAATGCTCTGTCCCAATGTGGACAACCTATGTTTGCTCTCCCTTAGCATCTGTCCAGTTACAGGAGGCTGTTCCTCCAACTACTACTACTGCTAGATACTTCCTAGAAACATTACTTGAGGGAGGGTTCCCTCATCACATCTAGAGATACAACTTCGAGCATGTGCCCAAGATTCAACTGTGTGCTTGGCTGGTCCTTGGGAGATGAGCTTTGTCCTAGATCGAGTTGTCCAGAGACGAGAAGAGTAACCTCTGGGCTCAATCGCTGAGGCCTTTCAGTTGCAGAACAAGTGACAACTCTGCTAGATCATCTCAAAGGTAGCCTAAAGCCCTCTGATCACAAATGCTGAGGGAAGGAGGAGGGGAAGAGAGAGGAGAGGAGAGGAGAGGAGAGGAGAGGAGGGAAGTAAGTGTGATTGGCGCATTGGACAGAGGAGGGAAAGGCCAGTACGCTGGACTGCAGCAGGTGGGGTCACAGGGCAGCAGACACCTTGAAGGACGGGCCTGGAGAGAGGGTGAGGCGATGCCACACAGTCTGTCTCTTGCTTCTGCCCTTGTTCAGGCTGGCGGACCTCATGGAGGAGCACCAGGAGGAGCTGGCTACCATCGAGGCCCTGGATGCAGGCGCTGTCTACACGCTGGCCCTCAAGACCCACGTGGGCATGTCCATCCAGACCTTCCGCTACTTTGCTGGCTGGTGTGACAAGATCCAGGTGGATCCTCATTTCTTCCCATCGTGGGGTGCACTGTAGGCCTGGATCCCAGAGGAGAGACTCCAAAGGGCAATATCTTAATATTTCTATACAAATCACCACTCTCTGGGGCTTAATACAGCACCCATTGAATAGCTCAAAATCCTGCAGGTCATAGGTCAAAGTGGGCTTGGTGGGCTCTGTGCTGGGGTCTCACATGATAGGATGAAGGTGGTGGCCACTCGGCTCTTATCTAGAGGATCTGAGAGGAGATTTGCATCCAGGTTCCTTCCAGTGTTGACAGCATCCAATGCCCTTGTAGCTATAAGACTGAAGTCCCCCTTGCCTTGCTGCCAGCTGGGCTCTCTCTCTCTCTCTCCAGTCTCCCCCCAGCACCCATCTGAAGCCAGCAATAGCACACTGTCAAAGGTGTGATTCTCGCTGACTTCCTCTCCTACCTCCAACTGGAGAAAACTGCTGGTAAACGGCGCTCGTGCAATTACATTAATCTCACTCCTGTCTTCTCACCATCTTAAGGTTCACAGTCTCCAGGATTAAGGTGTGGGATCCTTAATCCAAGGGGCGGTAAAATTCAAGGTTTTCTATTCTACAGATACTTAGGGAGACCCACCGCTCCAGGGTCAACTATGTCCTCCTCAGACCTGGGGTCTGGAGACTTCTCCCACACCAGAGACTGAGGAGGTGTGGGGTGTCATGGCAAAAAGCTGCCCACAGCCCTTATGGCTTCTTCATGTGTCTTTTTAAACAAGACTTCTAAGTGAAGCTGGTCTCTGCCCACCTCCCAAAGCTAGAGGCCTTTTCTACCCTAGGACCTGCTTTCTGTCTAAGGGATCCGTCTCCCCGACCCAAAGGCCAGCAGGTCCTTCAATGCTCTGGCTGCACACTCCACCATCTCCACACTTCATACCTAACCTGGGCTCACCTGGCCTCCCTCCCTCCAACCTGAATAGAGTCAGGATACAGACAAGACCCTGCTCCTCCCTGGGCCCCAAGCAAAGGGGGCTGGCTGGCTGCCCGCCAGAGAAAGGGAGGAGACTCTAGTGTAGCCTCTCTCCAGAAATGCCTGTGTGCTTTTTCCAGGGTTCCACCATCCCAATCAATCAGGCCAGACCCAATCGCAACCTGACTTTCACCAAGAAGGAGCCTATTGGGTGAGTCACTGCTGTGGGCAGGAGCTGCGCCCCATGCTCTTCCCCCATCACCCGTGGGGTCCACACCGCCCTGGTTGGCACCCCTAGAGCCTCCTTTCTGCACGTTTATCCAACAGCTGTTTAGTTGTCAGTTACTGACTGACAGGTGCTTCAGAGGCACAAAGGGGAATGAAACAGAGAGAAGTTTCTGTTCTGGGGAACTTACACGCTCTCAAAACAAAGGTCCATTGAGTCAGAACCTGATCCTCCTCCAGCAGATTTTCAGAGGCTGTAAATGGCGTGGAAGAGATTGCCCTTCTTTCTCCCTTGGAGCACCTGGTGGATTAGAACTGCTTACCGTTGGGTTGGCAGTGCAGTCTCTTATCCTTTAGGCCACCAGAGCTCTCTAACTTACATGCTGTCATGTACCATGGAGTCTGAATCGACCCCATCTGTCCCTCCAGAGCATTTGCAGAGGCAGTAATTCACGCAGGAGACTGCCTGTCTTTCTCCCCCAGAGCAGCTGGTGGATTCAAACTGTATCTTTGAGGTTGCAGCACAATCCCTTACCAGTAAGCAACCAGAGATAGCTCTCACTTCTAAAGCACATGGCCTGTTTTAGCTATTTTATAACTTTATTTAATCCTCACAGTAGTCTTCTATAGCTCTGGGTCATGGTGTCTCAGGGCTTAGAGAGAAGGCACACTAAAAGAAAAATTCGTTTTAAAAAGTGTTATCATCTAGCTCCTAGAAACCAGTAAGAAAAACAGCAAAGAAACAGGCAAAGGCAGTAAGCAAACAGCAATCAGGAGATGAGCAGATGTCCCTTACCAGGAAGAGGAAAATGGAACAGGAACTCACTGTGAAAGGTCCACCCTGTTTCACCATCAGATGTAAAGGTCACTGGTTCTAACTGGGGGGCAAAGGCAGAGAAGTGCATGTTTCACATCTTTGTGAGCATGCGACCAGATGCCTCCAGGAACACTCAGTCCTGAATGTCCCCACAAAGCAGAAACTCTGTAGTGGCCGTGTGTGCACATGGGCAGAAGCAAAAGCTGCCATTGCCACTTCCCTGGCCTGGGGCAGCAAACGGAAACACCCAGTGCCTTAATTTGCTGCTGTCCACACTGTTATCCAGGCAAAAGAATGAGGTGGGGCACTGTGTCCTCCAGAGAAATTGCTGAGTGAAGAGACCACTTCAGATGTCCTCATCCTGTTCTGTCAATGGCCACCTTCAGGCAAACACTGAGGAGAAGGTCTGGTGAGGGAGGACAATGCCAGGATGAGGCCTTGACACGAGGTCAACAGGGATCTTACCTTCCAGGGGATGGTGGTCAAAGGCACCCCCTGTGTATCTGTAATGCTGAGTAGCTTACAAGGAGGATGTGTTCAAGTAACACCTGTAACATGAGATAGCGTCAGGAATGAGTAAGGAGGCCTTTAAGGGGAGGCCTGCTGGTTTGGGAGGTTCCTCCTCAAGGCAGTGTGGCCTGTGGACAAAGGGGAGCCTTCACTTCCTGGAGAAGCCAGGATGAACTCCAACAGCTTTATCTCTGGAGCAGACTTCTCAGCGGGGGCCACCTTCCTTCTGGGGACATCTGACAACATCTGGAGGCATGTTTCAATGTTATAACTGAAAGAGCGTGCAACACGACAGCCTCTAATGACAAAAATGCAGCCAGTCCAAAATGCCAACAGTTGAGAAGCTTGCTTAGCATGATGTACTCAGAGCCTCCCCTCACACCCGGGCTTGAGAGGCTGCAGGACAATGGACAGATGCTGGCCCACCTGGGGCCACCAGTCAGAGCAGTGGTAAGTCCCTGTCAGGAGCATGCAGCTCCATCAAACTGGTGAGATACTGGCAAGGGACCAGTATCGCTGACCAGTACCTCATGGTTAGTGGTCAAAGGTGAGGCCGGGCCACCCTGCTCCCATCCTAACACACGGTGTCTGTCCTTATCCCAAGCACCTTACACGGACTAGTGCTCACCCCAAAGTAGAGGGTCAGGGCAGTTCCTCACCACCTGGCAGGCTGGCTGAGAGTCAGAAAGCCCTTGTCTCCACTCAGCCCCAAGGCCCTCCCTCCTCACTGCAGGGGTCACTCCTGTCCTGGCATGTGACTCACAGCGTATCCTTTCCTTAGGCCAGTGGGTAACCTCTCTATCCCTCAGCTTCCTTATCTCCAAAATGAGGGTGAAGTCTCTTCTCCCGGGGTTGTTTGAGGGGTTGGTGCATTTAGGTATGAGGACTAAGGAAGGCTGTGCGAAGGTGGGTCAGGGGACGTGGTGACACCAGACTGACTGCAGTTGCTGACGGAAAGGAGAAGCCTGAGGCTAGATCTTTCTGACAGTGACCCCGACTGCAGACCTCAGTGCCTCCCAGGACACTCACCTGTGACACTGTGACAGACCTCGGCCCTGGGCTTATGCGGCACCCAGATCGGGCCTGCTGGGGGCTCACTAACTGCTTAGACACACTGTCCTTCAGTTCCTGCACATAAACTCTCCTCAGCACACTGACGTCCAGAGAACTCTGCAGAGCTGACAACTAGCCTTTGAAGTCTCATTTGTAATGTCCCCTCTGCCAAAGCCTGTGCTGCCCACTGGACCAAAGCTGCATCCCTGCTCCCAGCAGGGCACTTTCCATTCAACTCTATTCTTTTGTCCTCTGTGTGACCCAAGCGGCCAGGCACCGTCCTGCTTAGCACACAACTCACATGCACCTAGATTCCCGTAAGTGTGTGTCAAGTGGCTGAGTGAGGGCTCCCTAGTGTGCACTGTCTTCTCCCATCACAGGGCAGGAGGACACAGGTATGACACAGGGACTCACGGGAGGCACTCTATCACCTCTGAGCTCCACTCTCCCAGCCGGAGACTGTACTGGTGTCCTCCATTGCCCTTTCCCAATGCTTTCCCTCCTGTGAAAGCACCAGGCAGCATCAATCTTGCCCAGAGCTGAGGATCCCCACACCTGAGCTCTTGGCCGCCAGACCACTCATGGCTGGCCAGGACAGAACAAGCCGGTTTTAGTCTCTTTCCTGGCCGATCTCTCCGTGAAGCAGAGTGAAGAGGTTTCTGATCTAGACGAGGCCCTGAGAGCAGACTCAGCAGAGAAGTGAATGAGTAATAAGAGCAGTTCTCTTGGAACAGCCAAATAAACAAATACAATGAAGGTGTGGTCTGGGGGCCTCGGCCTCATGGAGGACCCTCTGTGTCAGAGTAGACGTGCTACAGGGGGTTTCCAATGGCTGATTCTTCAGTAGGTTACCCAGCTTCTGGGCACCTCTGACTGTCGGCCTTCTGTCAGTGGCTGAGCACACTACCATCTGAACCACAGCTTAGTGGTAAGGAGTTGAGCTACAGTCAAATTCAACAACTGCTTCACAGGAGAAAGAAGGGCAGTCTCTTACCATGTCATTTACAGCCTCTGAAAACCCACTGGAGCGTCAGCTAAGAGTCGGTTCTGACTCAATAGTTTACGACAATGACAGAGATGCTCATGGTGGCCTGACTAGGGCTTATTCCTACATCCCTGGGTCTCACACAAGATCTAGTCCCCATGCCAGGTGGCTCAGCCACTACCCTGCAGGGGTGGGACTCCTCCAAAACATTTCCTCTCTGGAGCCCCTTTAAGCCCACCCCTCTCGTCCCTACTGCTCTGGGAACATCAGAGCCTTCACTTTCAGCAGGCTCGGCTCTGCTCCTGACCACCAATCCTGTCCTCTGTGGGGCTGCAGAGTGGTCAATGGACACTCTTCAGTGGCTTCTCATTCTGGTGGCTCTTCATTGCTCCCTGGCTTGCACCTCCTGCCTACACGATTAGGCTGTGACTTTCCCTGTGCACCTAACCTCTCCCACCTGGCTGGGATGACTCAAGGCATTCCTCCTTGCCGTGGGGTCATCCTCCTCCCACTGTCTGGGCACAGCTAAGACATTATCTTTTAGGGAAGTAGATGATGATGATGAGGATGATGAAAGCAGTACTATAGTCCATAAAGTACTTTCATGAAGATTATCTCATTTAACTATCCAAAGAATCCCACAGATAGCTACTAATGTTATTGTTTGTTGTTGTTATGTGCCTCCAGTCGACAATGACGATGACTCACAATGACCCTAAGAGTCATGGCTTTGAACCTGGCCTTATCCTGAGCCAACCTCGTCGTCTCTGACATGCCTAATCTCATTGCCACAGTCACTGTGTCAATCCATCTCATCCAGGGTCTTCCTCTCCTGTGCTGACCCTCCACCCTTCCAAGCATGATGTTCTTCTCCAAGGACTGGTCCCTCCTGGCAACATATCCAAAGTACATGGGATAGAGTTAAAAAACTTTGCCTCTAAGGAGCACCCTGGTTTTATCCTCTCTAGGACAGATTAGTTTGACCTCTTGGTAGGCCATGGTATGTTCATTACTCTTCTCCAGCACCACAACTCAAAGGCATCAATCCTTCTCCCATCATCCTTAGTCATTGTCCAGCTCTCAGATGCATAGCAAGCAACTGAAAAGACCATGGCCTGGATCAGGCACATCTGCATCTCTCCAGACTACATCTCAACATTAAAAAAAAAAAAAGCTCTTCACTACTAATTCAATTGGCAGCGTCATGATAGATAGAGAAAAGATTGAGGTTGCTAACAATATCATCCTCCATGGATCCACAATCAACACTCTTGGCACCAGCAGTCAGGAAATCAAAAGACAAGTTGTTTTGAGAAAAGTCAGCTGTCAGGGACCTCTCCAGAGTGCTGAAGAGCAACTCTGTCATTCTAGAGACTAAGATGCACCTGACCTAGGCCATGGTCTTCTCTCTAGCTACTAATATTCCCCTATTATATAACTACCCACATCTGTTGAGCCTATTCCAACACACCATGACCTAATAAGACAGAGTAGAATTGCCCCATAAGGATTACTGGGCTGTAAACCTTTGTGAAGACTTCTTCATCTTCCTCCCATAGAGTGCTTAGTGAGTTCAAACTGCTGACCATGAGGTTAGCAGCCATGTGTTTAAACTACTCAGGGTTCCTTCTTCATTTCTTAAAGGGTAGGTGACTTAGTGGTAAGGAGTTGTGCAGCCAACTCAGAAGCAGACAGTTCAAATCCACCAGCTGCTCCATGGGAGAAAGATTAGCAATCTCTTCCTATGCAATTTATAGCCTCTGAAACCCCATGGGAGGGTTGGCTATGAGTCAGTTCCAACTCAAAGGCACAAAACAACAAGGAGGAGATGGAGGACCACACAAGGTCTAAATTTACCAAGGTTCTGTCATCATGGCACTAGGCTTCTAAGGGTAGGTTGTCTGCCCTGGGACAGGAGAAGGGACAGGCTGAGTGGAGAGACATGGAGACCTTCTCTTGTCGTCTGACAGAGTCTGTGGCATTATCATTCCCTGGAACTACCCCCTAATGATGCTTTCCTGGAAGACTGCTGCCTGCCTGGCTGCCGGGAACACTGTGATCATCAAACCTGCCCTGGTGAGTTTGAGCCATCTGGACAGAGCCCTGGCTTGACAGAGTATTAGGAATTCACCATAAAAAAGGGAGTTAAAGAAGGAACCTCCAGATCTCTATGTACCCCAGTACTGATTTCTACCCAGAGGGCATTACTCATCAGAGCTGACCTTCCCAGTGGGCAGTCATGGCACTGATTAGAAGTTAGAGATACCTACTTTATGTTAGGGAGCTCTGGTGGCTTTCTGTTGCTATGTGCCATTGAGTCAGAACCGACCCAGAGCTGAGCCTCCAACAAGTTTTTAGAAGTTATGAAATGCACAAGAGGAGATTGCCCATGTGACTTTCATGGAGTAGCTGACGAATTTGAACCATGTGCCTTTGGGATTGCAGCACAGCTTCTTACCATCGTGGTAAGAAATTGTGCTGCTAACACAAAGGTACACAGAGTCCACCAGCTGTTCTGCAAGGGAAAGAAACCCAGTCTCCTCCTGTGGGATTTACTGCCTCTGAAAACCTGCTGATGTGTCAGTCATGGGTTAGTAATTCCAGTTCTATGATGCACAACAACAAGAGCATCTTGTATTAGATCAGCGCTTGTCCTGCTCCAGGGACTAAGAAAAGCCCATCACCGTTATCCTGTGTCTGCTGTGTGAGAAGGGGTTCAGGTCCCTGCTCAGATCTCAGCATGCCCAAATTGAAGGAATAGAGACTCACCTCATACCCCCATCCGGCTCTGTGCTTTAAGCAGTCGTGGTACTCTATTCATAAAGCTAGTGCTGTTGCCTCTTACATGGTTCAGAGATCAAAAGTCCTGGAAAGAAATGGAAAAGTCCTGGAAAGAACTGTGTGACATGGTATTTGGGGCCTCAAAGACAGGAGATCAGAGGGTTGGCCTTTCTCTTCAGACTCTGGGCAAGTCGTCCCTCTGTGTTCCCCATCCCATAAGCCTCAGCGTTTTCATCAGTACAATTGAAAATAACACTCCCCACCAACCTTGCCTGCCCCCCAGAGGAGTTAAGAAGAACTGAAGGAATGATGCTTTGAAGCAGCCATATCACATGCATGTCAGCAACATGCGCAGAGGACACCCTACTCTCCTGGCTTCTCTGGGGCACTGATGTAATAAAATCCCAACAGTAATAACTGATACTGTGTTCACCATGAGCCAGGCACCCTTCAAGCACTGTCATTAAGAAAGTATGTAGAGGTTTCTTGTTGTTGTTGTTGTGCACTGTCGAGTCAGAGCCGACCCATAACTGACCATCTGGCAGGCAGTTAATCACACAGGAGGAGACTGCCTGCGGAGCAGCTGTTGGCCTCGAACCTCATGCCTTCAGGATTGCAGCACAGCTTCTTGCCACTAGGCCACCAGAGCTATAGTAACTTATTTAATCTTCTCAGACCCCTGTAAGGAAAACGTTCTCATCCCTCCTTAGTGAGAAGGCATTGCTAATCGGTCAAGGTAATTCTCTGGTAGCTGCTCTCAGTGAATTGTAGCCTGCTTGCAGGTGTGCCTGTCTGCTGAAAGCTGGTCAGAATACACCCTGTGAAGTAGTAGCCCATCAAGTCTGAAGGCGTTGGTAGGGCACCACAACCTAACCTTGGCAATGAAAAGTAACATGAGCACAGCGAAGCCAGACAGGAGAGGAAACCTTTCCTTTGTTTCCATGCCCAGGAGTACTAAGGAGTAAGATTCATCCCCAGATTCAAGGAAGCCTGTGTGGCCCTGGGGATACCCCAGATGCTCTGGGCAGTGGCAGCTAAGGCATGACTCCTTTCCTTGGGCTTTGTCTCATAGTGGGGCACCGGCAACTCTCAGAAAGAAAGACTAGGCTGGTTTTTCCAAGAGAGTGGCTGGAGGGGCAGCATGCTGTGGGATGTCAGGGAGCAGCCCTCTGAGTCCTGCTTAAGTATTCTTAACGCGCTCTGCCCTTCTGGGGCAGATGAAGAAAGGGGGAAAAAACTATGCAGGAACAGGCTATGGACTGAAGCCCTGCGAGGATGGAGACACCACAGATTAGCTGGCCCTTGTACCCAGCGCCCAGCTGGAGCCATGGGGGAAGATATCTACGTTGTTAGTGTCACAATCTTTTAGGACATAGCAATGCTTCTATAGGGTGCTTTCCCAGCCCCCAGTCCATGTCTGTCCCTTCCCTGCTTACTGCTGAGGCTGCTGACAGAGGATTTAGCAAGGAAAGAAGGCAGGATCCCCCTTTCAAATGAACTTCTCCTTACCCAAGCTTCTTTGCTTTTCCCAGGTGACACCTCTCACTGCCTTGAAGTTTGCGGAGCTGTCAGTGAAGGCTGGCATCCCCAAGGGTGTAATCAACGTCATCCCAGGCTCTGGTAAGGCAGTGAATGGATGGGAATCATGGGCTTTGGGGAAAGCCAGGGTTCCAGACAAAGGAAAGCCCTCTGTGTTGAGCAGGGCCTGCTGGGTAATGTTCCCTTGAAGGGCCCACTAACCTGATGCAAAGGCAGCAAGGCTGCCTAACCCAGTAAAAGAGGGCCTCTTCTGCAACTAGAAAATCTCCTTCCCCAAATGCTTCTCACTTTTGTATTTATGTGTGCTCTGGAATAAATTACCTAGCTCAAATAATCTGCCCTTGAAAGTGTGAAAGAAATATCTGTAGAATATTCTGGGCTTAGAGCATTTAGAAAGGTAGTTTTATAGTTCTTCTACATTTAATGGTCCATTAAATATAACTTTATCCCAAGTTTATTGGGAAAAATTCTATTATGTGTGCAGAGTTTTAAATACGTTGTCCTAGGGTTGTATATAACACATTTTTATGATATATTCATCTACTTTTTATTCTCTCTGATTCCACCAGTGTCTATCAGACCAGTAAGTCTGCTCCATACTTTTCTCCCTTTCTATCCAGATCTTCCTATCGCAATTCCTCTCAGCTTACCAATCAGTGATACCCAGGCCCTGCCTTATTCTCTGTTCTCAGGGTAGTGACCACTGAAATCCCCACGGCTCATCAGTCTTTTGAACTCATTGTTTCCTTGTGTCTTTGATTTTCTTCACTCTTCTTTGCTCCAGATCAGAGAGATCAATTTTTGCACTTTACATGGCTGTTCACAAGCTGCTCACCAAAGTAGGATATAGAGTTTGTAGACTGCATTGTGCCAGTGGGTGTCTCTTGGAGTTATGATCCTGGACCCTCCAACCCAGCAACTCATTCCCTCAATGCACTTGGTCACAGCTAAGAAGTTTTCATCATTTTCCCCTTCCCAGAACATTTAATCGTGCTAATGCGAAACCTATACTTGGACCAAAAGGCAGTCGTCCCAACAGAGCAGGGCAACACTGAATGGTTCAAAATTGGGAAGGGTGTGCACGAGGGATGTGTCCTATCTCCATACCTTTTCAACCTGTATGCAGAGCAGATTATCCGAGAGGCTGGGCTCTATGAGGAGAAGAGTGACGTTAGGATTGGTGGAAGATCTATCAACAATCTGCGTTATGCAGATGACACAACCCTGCTCAATGAAACTGAGGAGGACCTCATGCACTTGCTGCAGAGGGTCAAGGACTGCAGCCTTCAGTATGGACTGAAGCACAATGTCAAGAAGACAAAGATTCTCACCACTGGACCAATTGGTAGCATCAGGATGGATGGCGAAGAGATTGAGATTGTTCACAGCTTCAGTTTGCTCGGCTCCACAGTCAACACTCTTGGCACCAGCAGCCAGGAAATCAAAAAACCTATTGCAATGGGAAAGTCTGCGGTTAGGGACCTCTCTAAAGTACTCAAGAGCAACGGTGTCTCTTTGGAGACAAAGGTGCGCTTGATACAGGCCATGGTCTTTGCAATCACTTGTTATGCATCAGAGAGCTGGACAATGACTAGGGAGGACAGAAGGAGAATTGACACCTTTGAGCTGTGGTGCTGGAGAAGAGTATTGAATATACCATTGACTGTCAAGAAAATAAACAGTTTCATCCTGGAGAGGGTTAAACCAGGCTGCTCCTTGGCGGCAAAGATTCTGGGGCTTCCTCTGACATACTTTGGACATGTTGCAAGGAGAGACAGGTCTTTGGAGAGGGACATCATGCTTGGTAGGGTGGAGGGAAAGCGCAGGAGGGGAAGACCCTCTATGAGGTGGATACATTAGGGTTGCTATGAGTCGCAAACGACTCGACGGCACATAACAACAACAATGCTCTACTGTATTCTCAGATCTGCTTACAGCACAGAAATAAATCTGTAGGAATATCCTCTGTCAAAACTCCCTGTACTAAGGAGTGCCATTAACTCACCGGCCTCTGTAGGGTGAGAGTGTTTATGTAGCCACTTGTAGGTTACTGTATCACTGCTATTGCAGGATTGTGCATGTTCTTCTGTGCCTTTAACTTCCGTGTTCCTCCCAGTGTCTTCCTTGGCCTTCATCAGTTTGTGTTAACCTGCCCTTTATTGTGTATTGCCTTTTCCTTCACCTAAGTTAATGTGTGTATATCCTCTAGTTAGTGAGTCAGCCTCCTTTCTCCTCGCACCCCTGGTAAAGAATGTGTGTAAATCTTTTCTTGACTCTTCGCAATAGCAGCCTGATACACCATGTGTCCTTTCACGGTTGGCTAGCTGTGCTCAGCATGATGTCCTCTAGCTTCACCCACAGTATGTATGAAGTGTTTCACAGATTATTCATCACTCTTTAATGTTGCATAGTACTCTGTTGTGTGTGCATACCATACATTTATGCATATATCCACTGGTGGCACACTGTTTTTATCACAAGCAGCCAGGAAATGAAAAGATGTTTTGTGATGGGAAAGTCTGCTGTTAAGGACCTCTCCAAAGTACTGAAGATCAATGGTGTCACTCTGGAGACTAAGGTGTGCCTGATACAAACCATGGTCTTTGCAATCACTTGTTATTCATCAGAGAACTGGACAATGGCTAGGGAGGATAGAAGGAGAATTGATGCCTTTGAGCTGTGGTGCTAGGGAAGAGTATTGAGTGTACCATGGACTGCTAAGAAAACAAACAGATTCATCTTGGAGAGGGCTAAACCAGGCTGCTCCTTGGAGGCAAGGATTCTGAGGCTTTGTCTGACATGTTCCAAGGGGGGGACCAGTCATTGGAGAGGAACGTCATGCTGGGAAGTGTGGATGGACAGCACAGGAGAAGACTCTCTATGAGGTGAATTGGTTCAATGACTAGGTAATTGGGGTGGGTGTGTTGGAGACAGTGTGACTGGCACAGGACAGAGCAGAGTTTAGGGCTATTGTACATAGGGTCGCCATGAGTCACAAGTGACTCGACTGCACATAACAACAACAACAACTAATGCTGTGATGAACATGAGAGTACATGTATCTATTTATGTCACAGGTTTTGTATCGCTAAGGTACAATACTTAATACTAGGATTGCTAGATCATGTATTTTTCTTTCTAATGTTTAAAGGAAGTACAATGCTACTCTCTGCAGTGGTTGCACCATTTTATAGTCCTGTGAGTATATAGTCCTCCATGTCCTCACCAGTATTTGTTGTTTTCTGGTTTTTTTTAAACTTTCCTGGGGCAAAATGATATGCCATTGCTGTTTTGATTTGTCTCTCTCCTGGCTAATGAGGGAGCTCATGTAGCCTAGTGTTAAGAAGCTGTGCTGTGATGCCAAAGGCACGCAGTTTGAATCCACCAGCCACTCCACAGGAAAAGGATAGGCTATCTCCTCCCTTGTGATTTACTGTCTCTGAAAATCCCATGGAGGGAGGGTCAGCTATATTTCAGGAGAAGAATGGCCAGCTATGAGTCAGTTCCTACTCAAAGGCGTACAACAACAATGATTTCCGGCTAATGATTTTGAGCAGTTTTTTCATTTGTTTCAGTCATCTGAATGTCTTTTATTTTTCTACTGTGATTTGACTGAACATTTGCATGATAAAATGATGTTCCATTCCTATATGTTTTCTTTTATGACATTAATTACATTATTCACAATGTAAAGTAACCACACTCTTCCAGCTTCCTCCCTATAATCTTCATTCCCATTTTTTTCTCTCCTACCACTTCCTGCCTCATTGATTTAATCCATGGGTAACAAATCCATGGGTAGCAAATGCTACCCTTTTGATCTTAAAGGGTTGACTGTTCTAAGAAGTGGTGTTGTTGTTTACCTTAAAGGTCTGCTTATGGAGGTGAGTTATGTTTCAAGTTCAAAAGGTGACAAAGGATCATAGTCTATTGTTCTACCAGTCTCTATCAGCCTGGTCATTTATATGTTTTCTAAGGGGGTTTTTTCCCCCATGTTTTTCACCCACTCTGTTAAGAACCTTCTACTGAGATTCCTTTTTTTTACTGATTTGCTGTGACAGCTGGACACTCTCTAGTTCTTATCTCAAAGTTGTAAAAGTTGAGGCTCACAAATCCCACAGATCCTTTACACTCATTGTTTCTATCCATTGAATTTGGTAATATGTCTATTCATATCTCCCCCTAATTTTCTTTGGGTCTTGGGGGGATTTTTTTGTTGTCAAAGGATTGATGTTTCCTATTTATATATGTTCTTTTTTGCACATAAATCTTTATTTAGTTTTTACAACAGTGATAGAATTTGTCCTTTTGTAACTGACTTATTTTATTATCATAAAGTACTCTAGATTGATCCATGTTATGCATCATTTCAAGAATTCTTATTGTTGTTTAATGTTGCATAGACTCCATTGTGTGGATGTACCAGGTTTCTATCCAGCTGTCCACTGATAGACACCCCAATTGTTTCCATTTCTTTGTTATTGTAACTAACGTTCCAGTGAATGTGAGCATGCTTGTGTCTCTTCATGTTACAGCTCTTATTTCTTGTGTATCCATATCTAATAGTGGTATTGCTGTATCAAATAATATTTGTTTTAAAACCTTAAGTACCAAAATGCCCGTACCACTTTGCATTCCCACTAGCAGTTTATGCTGTTACTGTTAAGTGTCATTAAGTGGATTACAACTCATAGTGACCTCATGCGATCTGAACCATGTCCTCTCTTGTGCCACCCTTATCATCTCTGATAAACTTGATTGCATTGCTACAGCAATATGTCAGTCGATTCCATTGAAGTTCTTCCTATTTTCACTGGCCCTCCATGTTTCCAAGCATGATATCCTTTCCCACCGAATAGCCTAGTGAGATAAAACTTCACCATCCTTTGTGGAAAGTCAAATTTCATACTAAATATTTATAATTTAAAAAATGCCATAACAGGATATGAGGGAGGCAAGGATACAAGCTGGAATTCACCCTGAAGCACTAAGGCAAACTTAAATTGTTTACAGGAGTAGGCACTAAGGCAAACGTTAGGCGTTTACAGATTCTTGCATTGTATTTATTAACCCATCCCTCC